GTTCTGGTCCTATTAGATCTCTCAGTGGCTTTGGATACCATCGACCATGGTATCATGCTGCGCCGGCTGGAGGGGTTGGGAGTGGAAGGCACCGTCTTACGTTGGTTCTCCTCCTATCTCTCCGACCGGTCGCAGTCCATGTTGGCTGGGGGGCAGAGGTCGACCTCGAGGCACCTTGTTTGTGGGATGCTGCAAGGGTCGGTCCTCTCACCTCTCCTGTTCAACATTTATGTGAAGCTGCTGGGTGAGATCATCTGTGGATTTGGGGTGCAGTGCCATCTGTACGCTGATGACACTCAGCTGTACATCTCCACCCCAGACGATACCCTTGAAGTGATGTCCCGGTGCCTGGAGGCCGTGCGGGTCTGGATGGGGAGGAACAGGCTCCAACTCAACCCCTCCAAGACCGAGTGGCTGTGACTGCCGGCGTCCCGATATAGCCAGCTGGTGCCATCGCTGGCTATTGGGAGCGAGTTATTGGCCCCCACGGAGAGGGCTCGTAACTTGGGCGTCCTCCTGGATGCACGGCTGTCTTTAGAAGAGCATATGGCGGCCGTGGCCAGGGGGGCTTTTTATCAGGTTCGCCTGATATGCCAGTTGCGCCCCTTTCTGGATCGGAACTCCTTATGCACGGTCACTCACGCCCTCGTCACCTCTTGCCTGGACTACTGCAATGCTCTCTACATGGGGCTCCCCTTGAGGAGTACCCGGAGGCTCCAGCTGGTCCAGAATGCAGCCACGCGGGTAATTATGGGGGTGACATGGCGCTCCCATGTAACACCTCTCCTGTGCGAGCTGCACTGGCTCCCGGTGGTCTTCCGGGTGCGCTTCAAGGTATTGGTTCTCATCTTTAAAGCGCTCCATGGCTTAGGGCCCGGGTATTTACGAGACCACCTTCTGCCACCGATAACCTCCCACCGGCCAATCCGCTCCCACAGAGAGGGTCTCCTCAGGGTGCCATCGGTCAAGCAATGTCTTGACCGATGACGACCCCCAGAGGGAGAGCCTTCTCTGTGGGGGCACCCACCCTCTGGAATGAGCTACCCCCAGGAATACGACTGATCCCGGACCTCCGTACTTTCCACCAAGCGTTGAAGACCTTCTTATTTCAGCAAGCCGGGCTGGCTTAAAATTTTAATGGGCTATTTTATGGGTAAGGGGTTTTAAAATTTGGGGAAGCCAAACTGATCTAATTCTGTTTTAATTTATTTTAATTTTTATACTGTATGTATTTTAATTTTGGCTGTTCACTGCCCTGAGTCCTTCGGGAGAAGGGCGGTATACAAATTTAATAAACCTAACCTAACCTAACCCACATATGGTTAGGTCTCCATGAATTCAGGGAGCAAAATGGACATTGCCAACAGATTTGGAGTGCATGGATATGCTTAAAAGGGCACTGATTTTTGAAGCCTGCCTTATCTACATTTCCTAATAAAATACATGGGAAAATCCCATTGGGGGGCAAATCCACCTATATACTTAGAGTTACGTTTCCTTGAATTCAGAGAGCAAAATGGACATCAACAATGGATACAGAGTGCATGGTTACATTTAGGAGGGCACTGATTTTTTTGAGCCTGCCTTATCTATGTTTCGTGGGAAAATACATGGGAAATTCCCATTGGGGGGCAACTCCACCTAGGAACCAAGTTAGCACTCTATGAAGTTGGAGAGGAAAATGGACATCACCAATGGATTCAGAGTGCATGGTTATGCTTATGAGGGCACTGACTTTTCAAACCTTCCTTGTCTATGTTTCCTGATGAAATACATGGGAAAATGCCATTGGGGGGAAATCCGTCTGGAGTTAGGATTAGATCTCCATGAATTTGGAGAGCAAAATGGACATATCCAACAGATTCGGAGTGCATGGGCATGCTTATGAAGGCGCTAAGTTTTTGAGGGTACTTTTTCTATTTTTCTTGGTAAAATACATGAGAAAATCCCATTTGGGTGGCAAATTCATTCTCAGAGAGCAAAATGGATATCACCAATGGGTTCTGGAGCATTTTCTTCTCCAGGTATCCAGGCATGGTTGATTTTTAAAAACAGCAAACATAAGTACTTTTGTTTCCACATGGAAACAGTTTCAGAATTTCTGTTGTGGTCTGCCAGCAGCCTGTGGAGCTGGCAGTGGAGTTGGACAGTGAGGAGGCTGGGGAGGAACATGGGCCAGTCCTGGAGTCTGGGGAAGGCTCGGACAAGGGCTCTGCATCGGAGGCAGAGATGGGGCCAGGGCCATCTGGGAATTATGCGTGGACTCCGGAGCAGTGGTGGGTTCCTCCCGGTTCAGTCCGGCCGGTAGCGGTGACGATATGACGTCACCGAACCGGTTCTCCCCCCCCCGCCCTCCCCACCCCACATTATTCTTACCTTTTATTTGGTCCCATCCCCAATCTATTGCTGCTTCCTGAGTCCCAGCTGATGACTAGAGGGAAAAAAACTGTTTAAACTCTTGCCGTGGGGCTTCAAAGGGCCATCCTACAGCTGATCAGTGTTAAAAGCAAACAAATGAGTCGGGTCGTAAGTGTGAGGACTGGTCGTAAGTGCGAGGACCTTCCAGAAATGACTCTGACCAGCTAGCCATGCCCACCTAGTCACATGACCTCTAAGCCACACCCACAAAATAAGCCACGCCCACAGAACCAGTAGTAAAAATATTTAGAACCCACCCCTACTCCGGAGCACTGGTGAAATCTAAAATTTGTTAGTACCGGTTCTGTGGGTGTGGCTTGGTGGGGGGGGAATGTGACTGGGTGGGTGTGGCCATTTTAAAAAAACTTTTAAAACCATTTTTTTTACAACCTCTTCGGTGAAGAGGTTGTAAAAAAATGCTTTCAAAAGCCTCTGCTGATCAGGCAACTCAGCTTGGATCGTCAGAGGCATTTAAAAGGAAAAAAGGGTTTTTTTCTTTTAAAAGCCTTTGATGATCCCAGCTGAGCTGCGCGATCATCAGAGGACCTGCAAGAAGACAAGAACAGTTAAAACAAAAGGGACGACTCGGGAATAAGACCTGGAGATGATTGGCCCCTCACAAAAGCCTTAAAAGAGGAACAAAGGCATATGGGCCCTTTGCAGGAAGCAATGTTGTTAATTCTGTTCCCAATCAGCATCTCTGTTTGATTCTGGACTCCATGTAGCTTTTCCAAGTAGGTCTTTGGCAGCGTGTCAAGGGAGATAAAGGTTGGTGATTATCCCGAAGGACTTCTCCCAAAGGATTTTTTGCAACTAATTGGAACTCAGTTGTGAATTAACTTAATTCACAGCTGTTGCAATAAAAGAGGTTTTGTGTGTTTTAATGCTCAGGAAGCCTAGGTCACAACAATGCTTGATGTGGAAAAGAATGTAACTTTGACTTTGGGTTTTGCAGATTAGAGTGATACATCTTTATAGAAATGACTTGTTCTTATTATGGAAAAAACAAAAAGCTGTGATTTGATGTTAATGCCCCATTCTACTGCAACAGAGAGAGTTGGAAGTCAATGCTCTTTTTCTTTTCTTTTCTCTATCTTTCCTCACTTCTCTCTCCCACTTCCCCTCCTTTCACTGCTCTTTTATTTACTTTTGTATTTTGCATTTTATAATACTTTATAACCTAATAAAAAAAAATGTTTGAACTGGAAAAAAAAAAGATATTAAAAACATCAACCAGCACAATTTTTAACCATGAAATGTCACCCTGAATGTTGCCTCAGTGTCTGTTTTTGTGTTTGGATTGAATACAATTTTTGGCCTCCTGGCCATTTGCTTCCCCGACTTTGGCATTATGAATTTTCTTCTCCTGACACCCAATATACTATTTTAAAAAAAGAGCAACCAGCATAATTTTTAAGCATGAAATTCCACCCCAAATGTCTTACAGGTCTCAGTTTCTATGTTTGTGTTGAATAAGATTTTGGCCTCCTGGCAACACACATCCATGATCCTGGCATCCAGAATTTTCTTCCCTGGGCATCTAATATGGTCGATTTGGTGGTGGCACAGTGGTTAGAATGCAGTATTGCAGGCTAGTTCCTGCACTGCCAGCAGTTTGATTCTGAGCGGCTCAAGGTTGACTCAGCCTTCCAAGGTCGGTAAAATGATCCAGATTGTTGGGGGCAATAATATGCTGACTCTGTAAACCTGTTTAGAGAGGGCTGTAAAACACTACAAGCAGTATACAATCTACGTGCTAATGCTAGTGCTATTTTAAAAAACAGCAACAGCACCATTTTTAAGCATGAAATTACACCCCATATGTCATTCTGGTGTCCATTTCTGCATTCAGGTTGAAAAAAAAATGGCTTCCTGCCCATTCAAGTCCCTGACCCTGGAATCAGGAATTTTCTACCCTAGGCATTGGATATGCTCGGGTTTTAAAAATAGCAATCAGCATCCTTTTTAAGCATCAAATCTCATTTTGGCATCTTTTTCTTCTGTTTGGGTTGGGGAAAAAATTGACCTTCTGACTACCTCCACATGCCTAGCCCCGGCATCAGGAATTTTCTTTCATGGGAACCAGATATGGTCGATTTTAAAAAAAAAAAACATAAACCAGCACCATTTTTAAGTATGAAAATCCACCCTCAATCTTGTCCCGGCATCCTTTTTTGTGCTCAGGTTCAACAAACATTTGCCCTCCCGGCTACCCACATCCATCAGGAATTTTCTTCCCCAGGTGCCCAATATGGTCGATTTTTGGGGAAGGGAGAAAGTTTTTCTCCAAGGAAGAATCACAATAGGTGAGATGTAGTCTGGGTGAAAAGACATCCTGCTTTATATGCTGGAATACAGTTCATCAAGTTCATTTGGAGGCAGCCCATATTCTGCTTCATCGTGGCATAATCCTGCCCTTCAATTTGAATTGTAGGCCACCTAGAGTCACTTGATTGAGTTGGGCAACTATAGAAATTGAATAAATAGATAAATATATATCAATAAAGAAATGAAATGAAAAATTACAGAGCTTAGCCCCCAAAATACAAGAGACCAAACAAGAGAATATATTACCCAGTGTATTTGGTTGCACAGAATTTTATTACAGATATCTGTATTCAATTTTAAGAAGAGCAATACTTACAACACTATCAAAGGCCTGTCACATACAGCTTGTCTAGCAATAACTCTACAGACATTGCAAAGCAGTAAAGGTCCTGACAGCTCTTTTGCCTCCTGCAAGTCTCTTAGCTACATAATGAAAGTCGGCTCCCACCTGAGCATCTCTGTTGCTTCCTGGGATTTCCCTTGTCTTCTGCTAAGGCTAGGCAGGGAGGATCCTGAGAAGATCGGTGTTTCAGGATATTACACCGAGGGCCATTGTTCCTATGGATTGTCCCTAGCATTCACCAATTGGAGGCTTACTATCTGTGGATGTATTGATTCCATTCTTAGCAGTTGTGCTACAAAACAAGCAGAATACTGAGGCAAGGACTTTGATACTTTCTTCCTCACCGGAGCAGAGGGACACAGCTTATTGCAACCTCACTTCCTAACGATGATATCGGTAGCAGGACCTCCAGAATTCCAAAGCAGCAGAGCCAAAATCTGGCTGGGACTTTGTCGAGTTGCTGTTCTAACCCATGGGGGATGTGGGGGAGATTGCAGTGGTGTCCCTGAGCTCCCAGTGAGGATGCAGGAAGGGAGATAGAAGTGTGGGGACAGCAGGCACTTTAGAGAGGGAGCTGGGTTGGAAGGAAAGGGTCTAAGTCGGTGATTGTGGACCTATGACACCAGTGGTGGGTTGCCCCCGGTTCGCACAGATTCTATAGAACCGGTAGTAAAACTGGAGGGAGGCTCTGCCCACCAACCCCAACGTCACCCAAATGTTTCTGCGCGTGCGCAGAAGAGCGTGCGTGGCCCTGTTGCAAACCAGTAGTAAAGGTAAGTAGAACCCACCCCTGTATGACACGTGTGTCAAAGGTGACACACCATGGTGTTTTTGATGACACGCCAGCATTCATCAATGCCTCACAGCAAATATTCTCAAAAGCATGCCTTGTTCTTGAGCACATACTATCATATGTGGTGGAGTTGTGATAAAGCAAAAATGCTTTGGGAAAAAATACATAAATGGCTAGAAAAGATGATTGGAAAGCATGTAGATTTTAAACCTGAACTATTTTTACTAGGTATAATATCAGGTAAATTTGATAAGAAAAGTATGTATTTAACATTGCACATCTTGACAGCAGTGAGGGTTACTGTATATTTGCGCAATGCTGGAAAAATGAAGAAACACCATGAGATGAAGAAATAATTAAGAAGATACTAGTGTGCAGAAATGGACAGACTGACATTAAAAATGAAACAGAAAGAAGACACAGAATATTATCAAACATGGAATCTATTTTATCAGTGGTTGGAAAAAAGGGGTGGAGATTAAGAACGTAGTATGTATTGTTAAGCACATTAAATACCCAGACAACATGATGTGTTTTAAGCACTAAGAAATGTAATTAATAAAAAAATCAATTTAAAAAACAAGGCAATTTAAAATGCCTTGTTCTCGTGGCATTTCCAGTAGCTGTGGAGGCCATGCAAAAATGGGGTGCGCCCTCATGCGGCTTCTGGAGCCTCCAGAAATTGTGGGAGAACAGGATGTGCTTTCATGCCGTTTTGGAGGTTGCAGAAGCTGCAGGAGAGCATTTTCTGCTTCAAGAACAAAGGCCTTGTACAACCCAAAGCAGCCTTTGGTAGGCCGCAGAAGCCTATCAACAGAAAGAAAAGACTGTCTGAAAATAAGCAGACCCTGGGAAATGCTGGGCCACAGGGGCAATTGCACCATTCCTGTAGGCTAGCATGCCTTGGGAAATGACACAAGGCAACCTTTTTGAGTGGCAACAATTTCTCTAGTGGTGAAGTTGAGACCTGTGCCTCTACTTCAAGTCCAGCCTTGGCGCTGCTGCTGAGAGGCTGCTCTTCTGAATGGCGTAGATGGGTGGGGAGGAAATAGAGCAGGGGTGTCAAACTCAATTTCATTGAGGGCCACATTAGGGCTGTGGTTGACCTTGGGGGGGGATGGGACTGGGTGGGGGTAGTCAATTGGGTGGGGGTAGCCATCTTGACACCATTCCCCAAGCTGCTGGTATGTTTCTTTTTTGTACTGGGTAGACAGGGCCGAAGCCACACTGGCCCGATGTTTCCTCTGCATTGGGTAGACCGGGCTGAAGTCATGCGGGCCCGCCTCTTACATTTTCCAGGACGGCCCCACGGGCCGGATCTGACACATCACGGGCCAGATCTGGCCTGTGGGCCTTGTGTTTTGACACCCCTGAAATAGAGAATTTTTTGGGGGGTGGGGTGACATGCCAGTTAGGTATTTGCTGAATTTTTGACACGCAGAGTCCAAAAAGTTCACCGTCACTGATCTGTGTTGGAGTTTCACTTCTCTCCAATCTTTATTCCTTGGCTGGGCCTAACCCCTCCCTGCTTGCCCTTGGAGTCTGTGGCCTGGGTCTCCAGGCAGGAGTGGCATTTCCTGGCACGACTGTGGCATTGGAGCTGCTGCTGTCAAGACTGCTGCTGCTGCTGCTTCTGCACATGAGCACCTCTTGGTTCAACCTTTGTCGCTCACAGGTGGGCTGGCATTCCTTCTCCAGCTCCTCATCTGTGTCTGAATCTGGGGCCGTGTGCCGGCGGATCCTCGACATGGCTTCCTTCAGATCGCAAATATAGGACTGGCTTTGGGCAGAAATCCCTGGCACTTTTTTCCTTTGTGGCAGGCCATGGCTTCTTGGACAAGGGGGTGCTGCAGACCCTTTCCCTTCCAGGTAGGTTGGCTCCTGCTTTGCAGGCCCAACCTGGGAATGGTTTGGTGTTGGAGGTCCAGAACGTTTCCTAGGACTGCCTGGAGCAGAAGGCACCCTCTTCACCTTCTCTCTTCCAGAACTGTCCCCAGGTATAGCACCATTCTCCGATCGGGTGATCCTGGGTGCCATAATTCCCTGCTCTGCCTCTGTAACCCCCAACTCACGCAAGGGGAGGCCCAATATGCGAGCAGCCCGTTCCTCCATTAAGGTAGGGCCTGGAGAGCCAGGAGATGTGGGGGGTTTTATGGTACTTGCCTCTCTCTGGGCCAGGTAGCAGACTTGCTCCATTCGGGGTGATGGAATGTAGTGAGCCTGGATCACCACACAAGTGGCATCAATTACAAATAGCCCCCCATGCCTTCGAGGCATGGACTTGGACAAAGCTGGCTGACCCCCTGCAAGTTTCCTGGAAGGGCTTGGTTCCTTCCATCTGGGGAAGGAGTCTTGGCAGCGTTTCTCTTTTGCTCTGCTCCCATCTCTCTTGGAGCCACACCAACCGGCTGCATGGCTAAAGCCCCATCCAGCAGGGAGGGTGTGTTGGGAAGGATGGCAGGGCAGTGGCATGACCTGGCTCCTCTTATTCACCAGAGGAAGGGTGTGACTTCGGTGTTGGGGACTAATGTCCCAGTCAGAGCCCAAATGGGATGGGGACTTTGCCTTCTCTGACTGCATCCTTGGGCCGCCCCACGTTCTGGCTCCTGAAAGATAACTCCAGCTGCCTGGTATTTTAGTCTGCCACCTGCCTGCCTTTCTCCCAGGCGGGTGAGTCAAGGGCTCTGACTCACAGCCCGCTTCTCTCTCTCGGTATTTCTTAGCAGCTCCAGTTTGGATAAGCTTCCCTGCTGAATCTGACTTGCCTGCCCGTTGCTGGGGTTGCACTCTATGGTGGGAAGCCTCATAAGAGGGAGGAGCAAGGTAGGGTGGAGGATGAGGCCAGTTTTCTTTGCGTGGGCCCTGTTGTGCCCGCAGGCGCAGAAGCATGTGAGCTTCATAGCTTGGGGGTGCCCTGGCAGGGAGCTCCCTCCTCTTCTTGGCAGAGGCTCCTTGATTCCATCCGCAGCTGACCAAAGCACCTCCAGGTGCTGGGGCTTTAGGATCACTCTTGGTTGTGTGGTTGGCTCCCCAGCTCATGTCCTTTTGGCAAACTGGATTGTACCCATCATAAGAAGGGCTATGGTGCCGTGGGGTCTTTGGGGAGGAAGCTGTCCTCTTCCCCCATCCCTTCCTTGAAAACCAGTGGCCTTCCTGCTTCAGAGGGCCCCAGCCAGCTGGAAATTGGGCGTCATGCCAGTTGGTCGAATCCTGAAGCACATGGAAACTGGGACAATGGCGGCAAGGTGAAAAGTCAGACATGAGTCGCTTCTCCAAGAGGCTGCAAAAGGCAGAGAAAAAGACAATGAGACCCGAGCAGAAAGTCCATCAAAAAATTGTAGTCTGTGCTATCTCGGCACAGCATACAGTAGCTATCAAGCATTCAAGGCAACATTGGCCCCATTTTTAATGCAGCTCAGAGTTGGTCCTTTTTCCTTTGATACTGTTTTAGTTCAGCCCTTTAGCCATGCTTCTCTTAAGAAGGGACAGTGAAGTTAGAAACAATTTATTAGATCATTTATTGATCAGCCATTACTTGAGCTACCATAGCTCAGTGCTCTGCCAACTTCATTCTAAGATTGTAGGCAAGAATTCCAGTTCTGCCTGTGAAGATACCAGGGACTAAATCTGCCACTTTCTGTGTGCAAAGCAGATGTTCTACAATTGAGAATTATGTTCAGGTTGAGTTTTTCCACGTTGTCTTTAAAAAATAAAACTGATTATGGAGCACCAACTGATAGCCAGCAGAACCACCCAGCTGGATTGCTGTACTACAATTCTGACCAGAATTCCCCCTCTTTCCTATCACTCCATTTGTAACATCTTTTTATCCCAACTCACCTTGCCATTGGAAGTGATTTAAGATTATTTGAAACTTGAGTTTCCAAACTTCTACATTTTCAAGGAGTGCTGATAGAGGAGGCCAATGAGAATATAAAAGAGAGAAATTCTAGACATAAGAGAGTTGCAGCAATCCCGAGTCTTCCAATCTCCATTCTCTATTGTTAATGTTCCATTGTTAATTAACCAGTGGTAAGCCTGCAGAACCATATTTTAAAGATACTCAACTTGCTTCAAATGGCACCATTACCCGTAAATGTGAGTTTCTGTATTTGACATTTAGCATGGTAAATACTAGCATTTGCTGCAATAAAGTACCCGTTTCCCTGAAAATAAGACATCCCCTGATAATAAGCCCAATCGGGCTTTTGAGCGCATGCACTAAAATAAGCCCCCCCTGAAAATAAGCCCTCCCAGAAAATATTTAACCGCATGTGCAGCCGGTCCCTGCCATTTCCTCTGGTTAGGGTTAGGAGACAGAGCTGGAAATCAGGTAAGATGGCAAGAGGAGCCCCATCTTGCTCCATGTGCCCCAAAATAGTAAGACCTCCCCTAAAATAAAGCCAAGCGCTTATTTCGGAGTTCAAAAAATATAAGACAGGGTCTTATTTTCAGGGAAACACAGTACTTTCTATTTCAATGACTTTCCCACACTGCAACCTTAATGCATTTGACTCCTATGGATAAACTGGCTGGAAATGAAGCTGGCTTTAAAAAAAAACACCTTTTTGGATTTCAGCCTTTCTTTTGCTTTGACCCAGATGATGGCTGGTGTATTCTGTCTGGACCATGCTTACTGATAGATTCTTCTATTTATTTACTCCCTCCAGCTGTGCTGGGAAGCAAGCACGAACTGCCTTCATTTCCACGAGGGGGAGGGTTGTCTTTGGAAGACATAATAAACCTTTCATATGAGTCACCCTCCATTGATTTCCCCTTATACTTAACACCTTTCCATCTGGTGCGTCTATCAATGAGGAGGGAAGGGAAGGCCAGTTTTATCATTCTTTCTGTCACTTCAGCTAAAAGAGGAATTTGGCAGAACTGTTGCCAGTTTCAGCTGGTCCCAAAATAAAAAGAAAAAAAGAGCCATGTTTTCACTGTTCCATCAATGAAATTGTTAAAAAGAGGGGCAGTGTGAAACAATGACGAACTGAAGGGGGGGGGCTACAGTGAAGGAGTGTGGCATTCCTGCACCGGTGGATAGTCACCATTTGGAGTGGCGGCATTGACCTAGATCAAAAAAAGGCACAGCTGGTGAACTGGACAGCCCAACACAGGTTGGCACAAGTTAAAAGGCATTGATTTTGATGCAAAATAGGAATAGCAGGAGGAAGATCCCTTTGTGTGGACTGTGGGTAGGTGGAGGCTGGCATTTTGTGTTTCCATCTTCAAGTAATGGTTAATGGCCTGGCTCAACCAGGCTGTGCACATCAGCCAACAGGATGAATCCACCTTCCTTGGATGTTCTTTTGGATTGCCACATCAAGATAGTGGTGTAATAAAAAATAAAAAACATGTCCCTTCTTCTTGAAAGCGTTTTTTTTATTTTTAGAATTCTTACAGCTTATGGAAATCCATGGTGATGATAATAATAATAATACTAGGAATGTTTGCTAGGTGGCTCGAATCCCTAGTATAGGTCTCCTGCGTGAGCAGGGGGTTGGACTAGATGACCTCCAAGGTCCCTTCCATCTCTGTTACTGTTTGCAGAGAGCAGGAGTAAAAGTAATGGTTCATTTAAGGTCATTCTATACTGCCAGCAGAAGAGAAATTTTAATCAAGGATTCCTTGTCTCTAATATTTGCTTTCCAGACCAATTCTGCCCAGCCACAATATTCATCCTCTTCCTAATCCAGCCTGTATGCTCTATATCAGGGGTGTCAAACTCGCGGCCCATGGGCCAGATGCGTCATGCGCTGCCCATGCCCATCCCCGTTTTAGTGAAGGGGGAAAAGTTGCAATATGTCACATGATGACAACATGTTTAACACCCCTGCTCTATATGCATCATAGTTGTAGACTACAATATTTTGGGTTTGTACTGTATATACAGTATATGCAGCCCTGACACACAGCATTTGTCAGTACCCTACCCTCTTCACCTTTCCTCTTTTCCCTAGCAGTCTTAGGTAATTATTTCTTCTGCCAGTCCACCACTATGTTTCACCAACTTCTTCAGTTCTCCTGAGCTTTGTCCATCTCTCATATGCCACAGAACTCAGCAGCTGCACAGTTCAGTCTAAACACTGACACTCTTCTGTCATTAGAGCTGCCCCTGCTTATAAAGAGGACTTGGCAACTAGCTAGTAGGAGGGATGAGCTAAATTTAATGCATATATTGATTCACACGAATGTGCCATCTTTTAAACCTCCACTGGTATTTTTGAATGAGGAGATTCAGGAGTCATTAGTAAACTAGCTAGCTGGGATGGGAAATAATTCTCAAGTTCAATTATTGCTATTTGTTTCAGCCATAGATCTTTCTGCAAAAATGGTTTAGTGTTCTTGAATCTCCCCACTGAATCTTAGTATTGCCAGCCTGCAGAAGGCAAAAGCTTGATCCAAGATTACTCGCCAAGCAGAGATTTGAATCTGAATCCTTTTCCAGCCCCATGCATCTCCCATGCATCTCTACTCTAGGAATCAGCTTCAGCTGAAGTGAAGCAATAAAGAAGAGTGCATCTGAACATGTGTAGAACAAAACCTTTCTTCCTTTTTTTTGCATCACTTTAGGTAGTTACACTGTGGATTTAAGCAAGCTAGAATTTCCAGTTTTCATTTATGATCAAAAAATATCTGGCCTGTCAGGAATTTAAAAAAAAAAAAAACTGCTCCAGACATAATCACCAGTGCAAACCTACATAATAGGAGCAGTTCTCCTCCGGCACAGTTGCACAGCTGTAGAGTAGCAGTTAAAAAGATGTGCTATGAGCTCACAAGCCCCCAGTTCAAATGCCAACCCAGCTTTAGCCTGCTTGATTCTCTCCTTCTCAGTCCTTAATCTATCCTGCTTTGCCTTTTCTAATGTTGTACACATAAAGTTATTTAGGAAAGGACTAGATGGGTGATAAAGAATTCTATTCCATTCCATTCTATTCTTTTCTACAGTGTTCTGCTCCTATTCTGTTCTGTTCTGTTCTGTTCTGTTCTGTTCTGTTCTATTCCATTCTATTCTATTTTATTCTATTCTAACTTCTAGCATCTCATTGTTGGACTCATAGTATCATTCTTCCATATTTCCATCTCAGCAAATCCTCCGGTCAAATCAGCCCAACCTCTCTGCCTTCTTGGCAAGTTAGCAGAGCCCCCTGCTGTTCAGTCAGTTCCCTCCCCAAGATTTTAGCACTCACGTGTACTGCCCAGTCATACTGTGGTACATCGAGGGGACCCAGTAGCCTTGCCTAGTCCACGCCCCTGGCTCCATGATACTCCGACTAGAACAAGAGACTGTGTTAAATTCAACCAGGAGCAGGTTTTGCCTCTCGCAGACTTGAAGCCGCCTGGCATCTCCCTGATTCAAACACTCAAACATCATCTTAGTTGCCGGGACATGTAGCAACCGCACGAGCCTGCAGCCGTACCACACGAGGAAGGCTGAGAGTGCATCACACCCACACAGCACATGGCAGTCAAGTTGCCTGTGCACACGCATGGAGAGGAAGAAAGAGGGAGGGAGGGAGGGAGGGAGATCTGCCAGCAGCACCATCTAAGGTCATGGAGAAAGCAGGATGCTCGGGGACAGGGTGTTACAGGTGAAGAGAGGAGAGAGATGGATATACAGTACAAATGTGCATAACTCAAAGGCAGGTTAGGAAACAAACTATACCCAGTGAGAAATTCTCACATGGCTATACGCTGTTCCGTACTGAGATAGCACCTCTGCTATCACAAGCTGCTGCAAAAGCAGTTACACAGCAACAGCTGTACCCAAGATAGGCTAGTACAAGGACATGCACATAGAGGAAAGCTCCCTTTCCTTCAGGCATTGAAGGGGCACAGAAAGATTGCACAAAGGGGTCCATACTCAGGCCGGCACCCATCCTGGTGCTGCTTCCTTCATGTGGCTCATGTACAAGCCTTCTGGGAACTCATTGAATTATAATACAGTACAGTCTCTCAAGCGGTTCCTGCTTTTCTTTAATTCTGTGTTAAATGACAGCTAACGGACAACGCATTTTAGTAAGATTTATGTGTGCTGAAAAAGCAGTTGTGTTTGAAACATTTAAAAATACAGATTTTCAATCTTGTTTTTGAGTTTGGGCTCTGTGTTTTTATTGACTGTCATCATCATTGCCCCTGGTTTTGCTTTATTCTGTATCCAGTCACCATCGACAAGCAATTAAGATGGGTGGTCTTTGAATGCTGTTGCAGAAAATAACCCTTCAGTTAGAGTCACATGGGGCAAGTCTAGAAGGTCCCAGGGCCTTGCCACATTGCTATCCACAACACTGAGAGCTTGTTTCACCTGTCATGCTGTTCTTTATACAGTAGCAACAGAATGACTTCCTGTAAGAATCAACAATTATTAATCTTGGATGTGTGGTGCTTCCTTATAGAGAAAGTTATTGAATAGATTTGCATGTCTATCAGGTAAAAGATTCCACAGGAAACTGAAGATTTATGTTGGATAAATAAAATTTATCCCTGGATAAATTGTTCTACTCTGTACTAACCAACTGATCTGCTGCTCCGGATATAATAAAGATGGATGGATGGACGGAGGGAGGGAGGGAGGGAGGGAGTAGGAGAGGGAGAGATCTCATGAAGGCAAATATACGTGACCCAGGATAAAGTTGCAAGATCCAATCTGGGTCGGTCACCGGGACCAGAGGTTTCGTCTTCCAAGCTTTTGGATTCATGCTGGAGGCCATCTTCAGGGAACTTCTCTCTACTGGAATATGTGCTTTGGGCTATTCTATGAGTCGTATTTATGTGGTACCTTCCTATTGGTTGATGATCCTGTTGATGGCTGGCAATTGTCTCCTTGTTTCCTTGTGCTGCCAATCCCTTGGCTCCTAAGTAACTGATGGGCTGGTGGTAAATCAGCATTCCTGTTATCTGACAAGAGGCCCATTTCCCAGGCTTCAATCTTATGAGAGATCTAATCCCAATAAAGATAGGTTGAGTGTGCATCAGTGGTGGGGTATTTAAAATTTTTTTACTACCGGTTCTGTGGGTGTGGCTTGGTGGAGGTTGCATGGCTTGGTGGGCATGGTTTGGTAGGCGTGGCAGGGGAAGGATACTGTAAAGTCTCCATTTCCTCCTGATCAGCTGGGATTTGGGAGGCAGAGAATAGGTGTGGGTGGGGCCAGTCAGAATTTTTATTACCGGTTCTCCGAACTACTCAAAATTTCTGCTACCAGTTCTCCAGAACTGGTCAGAACCTGCTGAAACCCACTTCTGGTGTGCATCATAGTATTTGTCTGCAGACTAAAATCATAAATCTTTATCCATTTCAGAATCCCAAACTGGAATATATCACATATGAAAAGACTCATATATCCATTAAAAAAAAAACACGATTCCAGACCCTGACATTTGTAATTCAGCCTTATGTTCTCCTCATCTCCTTGACTGCCCTATTTTAGAAAGCAATGGAAAGACCAAAGAGGAGCAATGGTCACCTCTATTTACTTTTCCCTCTCCCGATCTTTCTGGTAGGTGGCGGCATTTGGCTTCAAAGAAAATATTAATAGAATCAATAGGAAGAAGTGGGAGGGAGGGTTTCCACTCAGAAAGATCTTGTGGACAGTATCTTGAAAAGGAGCTTCAAAGCTTATGGAGTCCACTATATATTTCACCATGACACAGCAAGAAAAAAGATGACATGAGCACCATCTCTCCTCACTCCCTCAAGGTGTGCCTAATCATGTAGGAGAAAAGCCCAAAAGCAGAGGTTTTTCATGCAAAGGCAGTCTTGCAGAGCTGCTGTAAGGCCTGGGCTTTGCAGCCAGCTTGGCCTAGGTCTGTGATGGCTAAACTATGGCACGCGTGTCACAGGTGGCACATGTAGCCATATTGGTGGGCACATGAGCTCAGCTCCTCCGGAGGGCCTCCGGGTGGGGGGGAGGCCATTTTCGCCTTCCCCAGACTCCTAGAAAGGCTCTGGAGCCTGGGAACAGCAAAAAAACGGGCCTTCCAGTCCCACCGGAAGTTGGCAAATCGGCTGTTTCTGGCCTCCGGGGGGGCGGGTGGAGGCCATTTTCACCCTCCCCAGACTCCTAGAAAGGCTCTGGAGCCTGGGGAGAGAGAAAAACGGGCCTACAGGGCCATCATGTGCCAGGAGCAGTGGGAGCGGGGGGGGGGGGGCACACATGGGTGGGGGGGGGGCGCATAGAATTATGGGTGTGGGCACGTGTGCGTGACCCCCCCATGCTTTCCCTGGCACATGATGGCAAAAAGGTTAGCCATCACTGGCCTAGGCGAATTCTGGTAGCCTTCCCCATCAGTTCAGAGAATGAGCTGGAGAGGAACTCAGATCCTACCAAAGTTTTGTTCCTTAGCCATATTCTGAGCTTAGATATGCTCGTTGTGTTGTTGTCAACAGTAGGATGGGGTCCGGCCCCATATCTCATTTTCTCTCCCAACTGCTTTATTACTACTTCTTCTCAAGAACAAGCGTTCACCCTTCCTTCCCAGGTAAATGCAATTGTTTCTTCTCCACCCCCACCCTCCAAAATTTCCCAGTAAATAAGAGACTTCAGCACAACTCCCACACCAGCTCCAAGTGAAACCTAGCAACTGAGCGCCAGCATGGCAACTGCATTGGCAACAGACGGCAACAACAGGAGTGGTTAGCAGAACTGCCAGTGACACAACCCCTCTGATTATATGGGGGAAGGCTGGGCAACATTTGTTCCCATATCACTGTTTTCAAAAGGCCGATGACTTAGCCTCCAGATGCAGAGATTCTGGTACTAATTATTGCTACGTGGTGTACAGAACGCTTATAAATCACATAATAATCCTGAAAGATCATTATGATTTTTATGTAAATTGGAATTATGGTACTAAGATGAGTTTTACCACTTTTAAAAGCGAGCTATGGAAAGGATGCAGAGCATAGCTTCTTGAATACCTCAAATTCTACTAGAGTGATGCTAGGAAGATTTGATGCTTTCTTCTATGCAGTCAAGTAACACGTATGCGCACATTCATGCTTTCCTGTTACATTGCTTCTACATTTGTACACACCAACTGGAAAGCACAGGGCAAGTTGTGTGTGTGGGGGGTACTTAGAATGAAGGAGTTAGCAACAAGCTACTGCAATGTCTCCCATAAGGATACATTGAAGGAATTTTTCCAGCAATGTTTTTCTCAGCAGCCCCCAGCTTCATTTTTGGCCTGTGATTTATCTTGATCATTCTTTAACTGGCTTTTCCTTGGTACATCAGGACAGTTCTGTTCTGTTCTGTTTTTGGAAAATAATACTGCTGATGGATAGACAGAAAATCAACTGGAGCGGTGAGCCCCTTTTGCATAATTATTTTCCAATATTCTCTTGGGTTTGAAAGAATAAAACTGCATTTCTGGGCCTGTAAAACCATCATCAGTCCCAAAAGCAAAGCGAATACGTAATTTTCCTGGCACAGAGAGCTCACCTGTTATATCTGTAATCAGATCTATTTTACTTCTGCGTTAAACTTGTCAACTTTCCAAAAACTGACAGGAAAAGATGGACAGGAGACTTTACATAGGGAAAAGTGCCGAGATGAAAAATTTTCTTGCATGCATTCCAGCAAACCAAATGAATGGATACTGTTTGCCTGAGGTCTCCAGCATGCCCCACTGAAAAAAAAATGAAACAAGTATTCCTGCTTTCACAGCACAGACCAATATGTAGATGTTTTACACTATCATACCAAGGACAACATCTAAAACCAGCTTTCATAATTTAATTATATAGGTGGGGAAAAAACAGGCTCTGAAATGAGCAATTTAGTACCAGACAACCTGGTAAAGAAATAGAGCCTGTTTGGTGCAGTGGTTAAGGGGGTGGCCTAGAAACCAGGAGATTGGGAGTTCTACTTCTCCTTTAGGCATGAAAGCCAGTTAAATGACTTTGGGACAGTCACTCCCTCTCATTCCACATCACCTCACGGGGTTGTTGTTGAGAGGAAAACAGAAAGAGGAAGGAATATTATGCATGTTTGCCACCTTGAGTTACTTATAAAATAATACACGTAATATATACAGTAATATATATTGTAGATCAGTCCACACCGATTCTGTTGGATAAATCAAGTAAATCTCTCTCTCTCTCTCTCTCTCACACACACACACACACACACACACTGTTGGCATTTGTTTTATAGAAACGGACAACTGTTGGATTTGTCAAGAGATATTGGTGAGAATCCCTAATTAACAGCCTGAACCCAGGACTATCAGAGTAATAGAGCTCACCTTCCTTTTGAAAAAATCTAGGCTAAACTGTATTATTTTCAAAACTATTATTTCATCTGTCTGGTAGAGGCACTAATTAGAATGCATAAAAATCTGCTGATATATTAGAAGCAGTATCGGATATACCGTACTGAGACACCCCTGATTGAGAGATGTCAAATCCAGGCAAGCAGCATCACATGCTTAGTCCGACATCAACCCAGAAGTCTTTTAACACATGCAGCATGTGTTTTCCCTGTGATCCACATTCAGAATCAAGAAACACAAACCTACCTCCACATCCACACCTGTGAGATGAAAATATTTTGGTACTGTTATGTCTTCCGGAGTTTGCAACAAGGCTACTGCTTGTCAAGTTCTATCAGCTCTGAATCTATGCTTCCATCCCTCTTTTTTTATCCATGGTTGCCATTCTCCCCAGTCCTTTTGCCCTACTTGAGATAGCTGAAATCAGCAACCCAGAAGCTCCTGGTCACCCACCTGCTCCTCTTATCAGTCCAGTTCTGTCTTCTATTAGCAAGAGATACAGAATATTTAAAGCCCAAATTGTCCCAACCCAAGGGGTGCAGCCTTAACCATTCTCTGCTTGTCCTACTCCCACCCTGTGGGGAATGTGCTGTATCAACACTCGTGTGCGTGTGGGGGTGGGGGAGCGAAGACCAAAAGTAATTGCACGATGGTACAATAGACTCAGGCTATTGGGATACAATGCAGTTCCGGGCTGCCCTCCACATATTTTCTTGTGGGGGAACAACCTGCTCGCCGGTCATCTTCCAATACAGGCTCTAGCAGCATTCCTCCCGATTGTGATTCAATGTTTAGTGCAAGAGCAGAGTGTTTGACTCACATGGAGATCCAGGTTCAAATTCTCCACTGGACCATGAAGTTCATTGGGGGACATTGGATCACCTGTCAACTCACACTCGAGTATCTGACAAGGTTGCTTTGAGGATAAAACTAAGGAGGCAGGGGCATGAGAAGAGGTAAGGTTCATGATTGGTTCATAATGCACTGTCTTCCCACCTGGATGTCTAAGGCTGCAAGTGGCTACATGGATGAAGCTCTTTCCTCTGGTTTTGGGGTACATTCCCCAAGAGATTGCAGAGATATATAGGTCCCAGCCAATACAAAATGTTATACTCTACCTACTGATCACAGATCTTTCAAGAACTTTAGCTCAGTAACTTTCCCATAACTCAAGGTTACAAATTCTGGGCAAAGGAACCATCTGAGGATGGGCGAGAGGAGAAACCAAGCAAGATTCCGAGATTCCACTGTCTCAAATAGCAGAAAAATGAACAGAACGGATGCTATGTACCCAGCAATCTTGGCCCCATCATATCAGGATGGTAGCCCATTAAGAGCTCACTCCTTTTCCAAAACCAGCCAGTTAAGCAGTCACCAGCTTTTTTTACCCAGGTTGTTACCCACCTCATAAGCATAATCTCCTAACAGCCTCAAGTAAGCCACAAGTAATTTCAAAAGAGCTTTGCTGGTAGCCTTCTTTCTTCACCGAGAGCTCATGATTGACTTGTGGGGCCGGCGCGATGTGCAATAAGTTCACATGGTACAGTAGGATTGTGTGCTTGTTAGTAGGATTCACTGGGTTAGGGATTTTTCTTTTACTGGCTTTCACTGTGAGTTGTATTGGGTTGTGGGGGTGCATGAAGGGAAGCTCAGCCATGTTGTACTCTGACAATACAGGTTTGAATTTGAATTTTCATTGTCTGTAGTATTGGCTTATTCAGTGAAGGGCCACTCCATTCCGGAGGGCCTATCTTGCTCATCTGCCATCTCCTCTTGCTAGATGGCATTCTCACCCATGGCTCCAGCTAAGTGCCTGAGGATTTCTGCCTTTTAAAAGAAATCACAGGCAGAACAAATAGGCATCTAGTAACTGGGCAGGCAGGCAGGCTGGCTCAGCACATTCCTGGCCATAGGGATGCTGGGGAGGATAGGAGGAGAGACTGGGACAGACATCCCAATTAAGGCCTTGGAAGTCAATGCAAGATAGGAAAAAGGGAGGGGGAACTAATCATTTTGGTTAGACTGGGGCTCAAAAAGAACATCGAAAAAAATATGCAGCTTGGAAGGGTGTTGTGGCCTATAAGAACTATCATTTCCAAATTGAGGAGAAAATCCTTGAATCACTGGCCTTTGAACTGAAGTCACAGGCCGAGCTGATATAAGCAATGAAGTAGTCAGCAATTCCTCTTCATTTTGGAGCACACAACATATAACAGAAGTGGCATTTCAGAGACATGAGTGCATAGGTTTCCAATCTTGTTGAACTAGTTAAGTACATTTTTAATTTTGAAAATATATTCCAAAGGATTGCAGGGTGGTGGAGAGAGAACTGCATGTATAAATGTGTATGTATGTGTGTCTATATGTATATGTGTGTGTATGTGTGTGTGTGTGTGTGTGTGTGTGTAGTACAAAATGCAAATGTAATGGGAAAGACTCAGTAATCATAGCAGAAGTAACAACAGAAAAGCTACTATCTGAAGAAATTTGCCATTAGACTTGATATGCTCTTGAGCTGATTAACTCAAGACTCCTTGAGATGTCAAAGAGGCAAAAAATCAAACCCTTGACTATAGACATAAAGATTATATGATGATGTTCTTATATGCATAGCTGCAGAGATACAATATCCTCTAATTATATAGGTACCTGGAGCAGCAAATACGTAAGAAAGGGAGAAGCGTCCAATTTCAACGTCTCAAAATTAAAATTTGGGGAAGTGAAATTATGGAGAAAACATACCAACCCGGACCAAATGATGTTCTGAAATAACATTCATGAATTAAGCTGATGTGCAGGCTAACGTGGGTCTCTGAGGTCAGAATAATCTTCCTCTCTTTTCTACACTGCTTGCCAAGTTCCATTCATTATTCTGAAAATGCCGGTTAAAATTTCAGATTGATCTTTTATTAAGTACAGACTCTCAAAAAATGTAGTAAATAATAAAAGGAAGGCTTTTCAGGGTTAAGGTTAACTCCTGTCCACGGACTTGAAATAATTACCAAACATACTCTTCAAGTCCCGCTTAAGGTGACACACACAACTTTTGAAAGCTTTCTCCTTGAAAGTAAAAGCATGGACAGAGGAATGGAGATAGGGGATACAACTTTACAAAAATATATATTGTACAATTTACCTGGAGAGGAAAGCAATATAGGAATGTGCAAAAGAGATAGCATTCTTGGCAAGGCAATATCTTTACAATAAGGAAAGACATACTTCAGTAAAGAACAGGCCCTAGTTTTTTTTAAAAAAAAATTGTGTTGCAAACAGGATCAAAATGTTTCCAGGCAGGATCATTACTGGCTCTGGTCCTTTCACAGGGAAGTATTAAAGAGAAGACAAATGAGGCCTCTCCCTGCACAGATCAGCAAATTCAAATAGTGCAGGAAGCCAAACAGTATCACACCATCCTGGCCCCAAAAGGGATTTTTAGCTCTGGTGATGAAATTGGTTCCATTTGGAACATCTAAAACAAAGTTTAGCTCTGCTACAAGGAAGAGCACTATGAGCAATGGGAGCTGGGTAGCATAAAGATGCCTATCAGGGAGTCTCAGAAGGGAAGAAAGTCATTGTTGGACATGATTGCAGGCGATACTTGGATAGGGTTTCTCACTCATTTACATACATTTCTTAGATGCACATGACATGCAAAGGATGTGCAAACCAATAAATGGAAGAACTATCAGGTACTGCACTTCTGCTTTAACTTAAACTCAGAACAAGATTCCCCAAAGATCTATATTCTGGATTTTTACAGTTCTGAGTTTGTGTCCACACATGGTTATATCACACTCGCCCAGGAAATCTGACACATGCTCTTCCCATCCCAAAATGGCCACTGTTATCTATCTGAGGCTACATTCCGAGTACAAAATCAGTGTTTCTAAATCAAAGGAACAGCAGGCCTTGAAGATTCAGGAAACCAAGATTTGAAGAGGGAGAAGCCATGAGAACTAACTCCGTGAAGATTGGCTTTTTAAGTGGACCACGCGGCCTCCTTTACGCTGCAGCTGTTTGGCCAAAAGAGTGATGAAGGAAGGACAGCTGTGCCATATTTCAGGCCCCAATGAGCTGATTCAGCCCTCTTGCGGCTGACCCCCCGGCAGCATTAGCGCTTGCAGAATATCAGAGAGGGAGATGATGCCCTTCACCACGTTGTTTTCATCTACCACAACCAGCCGATGAACCTGTTGGTTACAGAAAGTTTTGTGAGGGCCTATTTTACACAGTGAAGAATTTGGTGGTCATCACAGGATGATAGCCTGATACAATCGTCTAGACCAGTGATGGCTAGCCATTTTGTCGCCATGTGCTGAAAGCACGCACGCATGCCGGCATCCATAATGCAATGTGCGTGCTCCCCTTCGCGTGCCCCATTTTGGGCTTAGTAGGTCTTCCTGCAGCCTCCTGCAGCCCACAACCCCCCCCACACACATGCATGCACGTCTCCCACAATGGTTCCAGCCCCCATGCATCCCAAAAATCAGCTAGCCGGCGGGAATGCGTGCCTGCATGCATGGTGGAGCTGAGCTGGGCGACGGCTCGCGTGCCCACAGAGAGGGCTCTGCGTGCCAGCTGTGGCACATGTGCCATTGATTTGTCACCACTGATCTAGACCCTAGATCAGTGGTTCTCAACCTGTGGGTCGGGACCCCTTTGGGGGTCGAACGACCCTTTCCCAGGGGTCACCTAAGACCATCGGAAAACACATATTTTCAATGGTTTTAGGAATAATTTTATGGTTGGGGGTCACCACAACATAAGGAACTGTATTAAAGGGTCATGGTATTAGGAAGGTTGAGAACCACTGTACTAGATGAAAAGGAAACTGACACCACAATAATATCTCACTCCAAGTTTTTCCCAACCTTCTTTCTTGGGTGATTCAAAAGCTTCCCAAGTTTTTCTGTGGAAATGAAGAGTCCCCTCCTTCAGCTAGTATGACTATGGTATTATGTCGTAGTCACATAACCAAATACAAGCTTACTGGACTACTTCACAGTTTTAATCTTAATTAGAGAGAGTAAAGCAATGTAGAGACTAATCTTAATAATAGCTGAAAGTACTGTATTTAATGAGTACTTCTGGCTCCATCTTGCTACAAGAACATTCCTTTCCTTTGTTGAATTTAGCCAGAAAGGTGGAACTGGACTTACCTCGGCCTCTACCAGTCTGTTGATTATTGTCTCCAAAGTCTCGTGTTTGTAACATTTGAGCACACCCTCAAAGTACTGTGAGCGATGCTGCAATGCCTTGGTCACTGTTACATCCAGATTATTGTAGGTTTTCTCTGCTGCCAGATTCTGGTGATAGAGAGATAAGAAGATGAAAAGATCTGGTGGCACAGCTGGCTTTCACTGACTCCAACATTTTTTCTCTCTCCACACCTGCTCTGATGAGCTTGAATCGATCAAGTGTGCCCAATGTCTACAAACAGAAGCTGCTTAAACCCAGTAATGTTTTTATTACAAAGAATTAATAACATTCCTCCTCTGTCACAGCAAATATTGCCATCATATGAATAACCTGCAATTGATTATCAGCCAATATTTGCACTACCACATCCTAGAAGATTGGGTCATGTCCTACTGAAATTTAAGAATTTTCTCCAGGGGTAGAAACACGGAGGACAGAACCATAAGCATTCCACCAAATCTCAAATGATCCAAGCTGTATGCTACAAATTAAACGAAGAGGACACCAGTATTAAACCCCCTCTAATTTTCTTTCTGGTTCCAGACACAATCAAATTTCATCAGTTGGATTTATCTGGATAGGATAGAAAGCCATGTATGGCTAACCCTCATTTAGCTACCATAATTGGGAAATTGTGTGGAATTCCATATGGAAAATCACATGATTGTTACTGTATTTATGATTTTAATTCACCCTTCCTTTTCCCCACTCCCCAGAATGTTCATTCCAGCACTGCAATAATTAGCAAGAAGGAAATTAGTGCTTGGAATTACATTCATTGGAGAGGGATTAAAAAAAGAGTAAGCAGGCATACAATGGGAATGCACAAGCACCAACTGCTTCCTTTTGATGTGTATTCATTGTATGCCTGCTTACTCTCTTGTAATCCCTTCCTCTCTAATCTCTTTTCTCTGTGAGGGGAGGGGAGGGAAGAAAAAAATAGGTCAAGCATAGGAGAAATTGCCTAATTAAATTGCTTGCTTAATCAATCTCTCTGCTCTGCAAGGGGGTGGGCATAGGACTTGTACTGACTGACTGTAATAAACACATGAGTAAAGGACAGACGCTATGAAGGTCATAAAATTGTGTCTTGGCCTCAAAGTTATTTTTTTTCAGCAGTTATAATTTTGAACAGTTGCTGCACAAGCCATTCAGTAAGTGAGGTCTACTTATATAACTAAGGCTATCTGATCTCTTGGACTCCATGTCATTAAACCAGGGCAATTCCATAGGGTCATCGCTTCTATACCCAATATTATACCAGCTTCCGCCCAAAGACATGGATTTTTTTCAATATTAAATCTCTAACATATTTTTAGGCCATCAAAAATATAAATGTTTACATAAATATCTGTCTGCTGACAAGGTGAGGGTGGCAAATTAATTAAATTTCTCAACTTAGCTTTCAAACTGGATTTAAGATAACTTAAGCTTGTGTTTGATAAACTGAGAAGGTTTTAAAAAAAATGAGGAAAAGTGGGTAAGCCAAAACAGCACATTTTACTCCTATAATGTTGTAAGCAATTTTTACCAGAAATACTCACAATAACATCAAACTTGGAGTAAATATCCACAACCCGGCCTGAAAAAAAGAGAAAAGCTGAAGTTCAGTATTTTCTATAGCTTTCCAGCTAAGATCAGGAAAAATGTACTTAAGTTGGAAGAAAGTGAAAAAAACTTCCTGCTACAAATGCAGAGGTATAAGTGAGCTCATCACCTTGCCTCATGCACAGAACAAGACAGAAACTGGATATATTTGAAACTGGGTATATTTAACGACAGGGGTTGCCCCCCACCCCCACCCCCGGTCCGTGCACTGGCATAGGGACATGGCATGCTAGAAACCAGGCCACACAAACAAGCGAAGTCCCATCTGCAGAATGCAGGCAGCACCACATCCCCTCCAGTCCGTGGAAAAATCTTTCTCCACAGAACCATTCCCTGTTGTCCAAAAGGCTTGGGGCCACTGCTATACTGAATCAATAGGTTACAGAGCCTCATAAATCAACTAACCTATATTCAAAAGAAAAATAATATGTGATTACTACATAGGGGTAAGAATACCCTCCTAATTTCCCATCTAGGGCAGTCAACAAGAAAATGCATTACTAATATATCAGCCTTCCACAAAATTTAGTTGGGAATTTTACCACCTGAAGCCCCGGATAATGGGAATCTGTGGGAGACCGAGCTACAGAGTTTTATTATTTCAGAGAGTTCTTTACTAACTGCCATTTGTTTGTAGTACCCCTCACTAATAAAACTAATAGCATTTGAACTCTGTTTGTTTTAGATGCCTTCATCTATTCCACAATGCTGCTTCTCACCTGATTCATCTACCACAGGCAATGCAGAGACCCGATGCTGTACAAAGATGCCCAGCGCAACATAGACAGGCGTATTGGTCTGCACCTTTGCAATGTTGTCGTAAGTACCGATCTTCAACTCTTCTAGGGTTTTCGTCATGAATTCTGGCTTAGGGAACTCAGCAATCTGCAGGACCACAAGAGGGAGATTCTAAGAGCACGTTGAAGCTTTGTGGACAAAAGTAAAATGGCATCTCACTGCTACACAAAAAGCAACGGTCCACAGAAAGGGGACACACACAACCCTCAACAATGCATAATAGGAAAAGCCAAGCTGGCTTGCACTGAGAAGTACTCACAAACAGCTTGAGGAATTTGAGGATGCGCTTGTGTGTCAGGATGTACAGAGTGTTGCCTGACTCGGGGTCAATGACAGGCAGCCGGTGGATCTTGTTTTGAATCAAAGAAGTCACAGCATCAAACAGGCTTTACAAGAGAAGGAGGAGGAGCATATCAAAACTCAAGAAGACACTCGGATGTCTACTTTACGCCCCCAAACGATGCTATAGAACACAACTAGACACAAGAACAGTTTTTTCCCAAACACCATCACTCTGCTAAACAAATAATTCCCTCAACACTGTCAAACTATTTACTAAGTCTGCACTACTATTAATCTTCTCATCGTTCCCACCACCCATCTCCTTCCATTTATGACTGTATGACTGTAACTTTGTTGCTTGTACCCTTACGATTTATATTGATATTGTTTCCTGATTGCTTATTTGTACCCTATGACTATCATTAAGTGTTGTACCTTATGATTCTTGACGAACGTATCTTTTCTTTTATGTACACTGAGAGCGTATGCACCAAGACAAATTCCTTGTGTGTCTAATCACACTTGGCCAATAAATTCTATTCTATTCTTAACTCTACAAAGGATGTTTCTAAAGCTCTGGTGGGGATGGGTAGCAGACATGAAAGAGGAACTAAAATATGCAGCTGGGATTCCTAGATCTGTCCTCAAATCTGAGAGGAGTTTAGATCTCATGCAGGTAGAGGAGGTTTCTGGGATCTGCTCTAATTTATATTCCACCATCCCCCAAGACTCAAGAAAAAACTTCCAACACATAGATAGAAATCCTCCTCCCTCTGATATCTATCTAGACCATCACTGGCACAAAGATCTCCTGCTTTAAATTATTTATAAGATCCTTTCCCCTTGAAGCAAAGAAGAGAACCATTAGAGAGAGAGAGCCTTTTCAATGGTGCCACAACATGAGAGTTTATTTGTTATTGTTCTTGCAGCAGCTGCCTGGGAGAAGAAAAAATGATTATGAAATTTTACACCCCAGAAACAAAAACAAAACAAAACCTTGATTGGTGTTGGATATTCAGCAGAAAGGAGAAAAAGAGTGAAAAGAGTCATTTCCGTTTCTACATCAAGCAGCAAAAGGTCTTGGATAGGCCTTACTCTGCCCTGAGAGGTTTGCCAGTATATTGGATGTGCATGTATCTACCAATTTTAACTTTTTTTTCTTAGAAACAAATGATTTCATCTTTCAAAAGGTTTAATAGCAAAGAGTGAAGCAAAGAAAAAACATGAAGGTGTGATTGCGGATAGCTGTGGTTTCTGGTAGATGGTAGATTTCCGTGGTAGATGGAGATAGCAGTACGTTGAATGGCTATTGCATTCATTAAGTACAACAGTAGTTCTTCACATTCTTAGAAGTGTATATGTGGGAGGGAGAGGTGTGAGGAAGAAGTAGAGTAACTAACAGCTACTGTTAAAGAGCTATCAGTACAAGTGTTTACAGAACAGTAACTGAGTAGAAACACTTAAAGTAGTTGTGTCATTCCACCGTATTTCCCCAATCCTTCTATGTAAGACAGAATCTTAATTGGTAAAGGAACCCTCCAGATCAGGGATCTCTAACCTTGACAACTTTAAGAGTTTGGACTTCAACTCCCAGAATTCTGAGAATTGAAACCCACAACTCTTAAAGTTGCCAAGGTTGGAGATCCCTGCTCCAGATCTTTGAAAGACAACGTTCTAAACCTGACCTGCATATCTATTAACTACACAGCTCTGAATGCATAATCCTCAGTGCATGCATATAAGATAGTAAGAAAACAACACTCTTTTATAAAGAGGTGCAAAACTGAACTTCTGGTCTGATTTGCTTAGAGGAGACAAAAAGAGATAATACAGGTAGTCCTTGACTTATCACCACAATTGAGCCCAAAATTTCTGTTCTTAAGTGAGACATTTGTTAACTGAGTTTTGTCCCATTTTACAACCTTTCTTGCCACAATTGTTAAGTGAATCACTGCAATGGATAAGTTAGTAACACGGTTGTTAAGTGAATCTAGCTTCCCCATTGAATTTTTGCTTGTCAGAATGTCGCAAAATATGATCACACAACCCCAGGACACAGCAATGGTCATAAATATGAACCAGTTGCCAAGAATTCTGAATTTTGATCACATGATCATGAGGATGCTACAAAAGTTGTAAGTGTGAAAAATGGCCATTGATCACTTTTTTTCCAGTGCTTTTGTAGCTTTGAACGGTCACTAAATGAGTTGTGGTAAATTGAGGACTACCTGCAGTCACAATAACTTGGCACAAGATGCCCAAAATACAAGAGACAGGACCAGATGAAGACAACTGAGGATGTCCCTTAGCCTTTCCATTGCTTAATTGACAAAACATTAAGAGCTGAAAATTTAAATCGAGCGTGACAGTATTAAGGGGAAAAACTCTATGGTGTTCCCCCTTCCCTCTGGAGCCTAAGCATGTGCCTATTTTCCTTAATAGCTAATCCAGGGCTGACAGGAGATCATCCATAGACCAGGAGCGACGGAAAGACTGACTAAACTGGTAATGTCTCCAGAAAACAAGAAGCATGCCAGATGGGAAGATGGCAGGAAGCATTTTAGTGGCACTTCAAAAATGCAGAAGCAGATTAGTGAACAATCCCATGTGGGTGTTGGAGTCCCCTACCTGGCATCGGGTGAAATGCAGACCAATGGCTTGAAGGAGTCCTGCAGATAGACTTCTGCAAGAGAAAGGAAAAATTATTCAGCTGTGTTCCTTTTAAGAAGAGAAAATATACAAAGTACACACCCTGGATGACTTTCTGGTCACCCTGTTGGTGACAGCCCAAAGGCTCACCAATCTGATTGGTGTACAATCAGATGCCTAGGAGGGAAAAGAAGGGTTTCCAATATCTGGAAATTTTTTCCAATGTTCTTCACCAGAAAGACCCCATATCCTCTTTGCCCCATCATAACAACCCTTCTGCCATTACCTCGCCATGTTTCAATCTTGTGCTCTTCCAGCTCATAAATCTGCACCTGGACACACAAGAAACAGTGTTAGGGATAAGTGCAACAAATAACCTCCACCCATGCGGGTCAGCGTGTGCTCTAACTTGCTGAGGATGGAATTTAATCCTCCAGATGTCATATAGTAGCTGCCAACCTGGCAGGATCAGGGACATGTTCCAACTGAGTAGGGCTTTATGTGTGTGGAAGCAGCCCCTCTTCAACCATTATTGTATTGTGGTCTGCCAGCAGCCTGTGGAACTGGCAGCAGAGTCGGACAGTGAGGAGGCTGGGGAGGAACATGGGCCAGTCCTGGAGTCTGGGGAAGGCTCAGATGAGAGTTCTGCGTCAGAGGCAGAGAAAGGGCCATCTGGGAGGTACATGCTGCCTCCGGAGCCTCCAGAATCAGACCTCAGCGAGGCAGAGGAACAGGGGGAGCCTATTCTCAGTGCCTGCATGTGCAGAGCTGCCAGAAGGCAAGAACAGTTAAAATAAAAGGGACGACTCGGGAGTAGGGCTGGGAGATGATTGGCCCATCCAAGAAGACTTAAAAGAGGAGCAAAGGCATGTGGGCCTTTGCAGGAAGCAACGTTGTTAATTTTGTGCAGTTTAAAGCCTGAAGTTCTATTTGCTTCTGGACTTTACCAATTAGGTCTTTGGCAGTGTGTTAAGGGAGATAAAGGTGGGTGATTATCAGCTTTATCCTGAAGGACTCTTTACAACTATTTGGGACTCATCTGTGAATGAACAGAATTCACAGCTGTTAAAATAAAATAGGTTTTTGGGACTACCTGTGTTTTACTGACTCAGGAAGCCTAGGTCAGAACATATTGCAAGACAAGCCATAAGCTTCTCCCAGTTTTTTCAATCCAGGTTTCCTTGCCCCCAGTTAGCATACTTGTCACGTAACTAACTGTGGCATTTTAGCCACAATGATGTGCATCTTGGGACTGTGGGAGGTTGAGAAAGAAGACAAGTGCTCATTGCTTTTGTGTCTCAGTACTCCATATACAGGCAGTCCTCAACTCACGACCACAATCGAGTCCAAAATTTATGTGGCTAAGTGAGAAACGTGTTGTGAGTTTTGCCCCGCTTGACGACTTTGTTTGCCACATTTGCGAAGTGAATCACTTGCAGCTCTTAAATCAGTAACACGGTTTTTGAGTGAATCTCGTTTCCCCGTTGACTTTGCTTGTCAGAAGGTCGCAAAAGGTGAAACGCATGACCCCGGGACACTGCAACTGTCATAAATGTGAATCAGTTATCAAGCATCTGAATGTAAATCACATGACCGTGGGGATGCTGCGACACTTTGAAAAATGGTCATAAGTCCCTTTTTTTAGTGCTGTTGTAAATTCGAACGGTCACTAAATGAACTGTTGCAGATTGAGGATTGCCTGTAGTTCGATTCCCCTCCCACTCCCCGTTATTTGCTCTCCTTGTTTCCTACCCTGGAAACCCTTGTATTGTCACGGCTGGATGAAGCCCCATTAATAAACTACCACTTCCAAAATAAAGTTCACTCTCTACGTTAGATACTTCACCCATATATATTAATTTTTTTCCTTAGCAACTGAAAAATTAGAAATAAACTCTTGCCATACTCGGATGGGCAAAATTTCATAGTTGTGTTAAGGACCTTGTTCAACCAAGAGCTCCTTTAATGAAGCCAAAGTCCAGAAGTCCAAAGGCACTTACCAGGGCCGATTTATAGTAGCGGTGAAGGATGTTAATGAAGTCTGTGATTGTCAGCATTCCTGTGAGGGGATAAAAAGGGCGTGTGAAGAGGTCAGCCCAGGGATGAAGAAGTCAGGGTAAGAAGATGATAAGAAGATGAAGCAAGGAAGCCCTTACCCACAAAGCTTTGCTTTTTGCTGTCCCAGAGTGGAGCAGCCCGCACGCCATTGGTCACCAACGCAAAGAACGCTTTCTTCACCTAGAAGCCACACAAATATGGGGCTGTGACACTTCCTGAGGAAAAAAGTTACAGTAGCTTCCCAAATCTGGTGCCCTTCCAAAGTTTCATTGGGTTTCATTGCCAAGATCCCTCGACCTAAATCTAGGTAGTTTTGAGGATCATGGAAGTCATTCATCTATCAGTCTAGAAGGCATGGAAGGGGGAAATCCCAAATTAGAAAAAGGATCAGGAACAAGAATCTCACATTTTTTCCAAGAATTTCAGAGGGGTACTTTTGCAATGGTTTCCTGTTCACTTTGTCAGCTATGAAAAGGTTAAGCAACACATACAAAAGACTGCACTACTGCTGGGAAAAGCATCTTATTTTGCATTTGTTTGGCTACTTTCTAAATCCCTCTGTAAAGGGATTAGAGAGGGGTCTGCTGGTCTGGTCTTCTCCTGAGATTATCCTGCTCAGGAGCAGACCAGCATTTTTAATCTATAAAAGACAGATTAAATGATTTAATCTAGTATCTCATTTAGATATTAAGCATGCTTAGTATCTAAATGAGACATCATATTTACTGGAATCAAATTCATACTTAGCCACAGTTGAAGTCAAACATAATTACCGTATTTTTTTGAGTATAAGACACACCTTTTCCCCCCCTAAAAGGGGGTGAAAATTTAGGTGCCTCTTATACACTGAATGTAGCCCCGCCTACCCACTGGCCCCCACCCTTTGGCCTCTGCCTTGCAGCAGTTACCTCCTTGCAAGCTAACAGCAAGAAAAAACAGCTTTCAGCTTCAGCACATTCTAATTAGCACAAGTTGATTGGATGGGCCTCCCGACACTCAGCTGATTTGCTCTCAGCTGTTTTGTTGCTTGCTGCAAAGAGGTAAATTGTTGGAGCAGATTTTTTTTTTCCTTGTGCTAATCAAGCTATGTTGAAAATGAAAGTAAAGCAGGCTGTTGGCTGTTTGCTGCAACGAGGCAAAATTGCTCAGAGGCAGAGGGAGATTTCTTTTTCTTCTTTTCCTCACCAAAAAAGGTAGGTGCATCTTATACTCCGGTGCGTCTTATATTCCAAAAAATACGGTAACTTATGTCTTAATTATAATATGACTGAATTCACACTTTGTGCTGAAATATAATCTGGTTTAGTGAGTTTTAATTTATGAACATAACTGGTTGTGATTGATTTAATAAAACATGGTAATATAATTTGCAAATCAGGTCAGTAACTCTATTCTGCCTAAAACTAGATCCAAACCTTTATATATCAGTTTCAAAATTTTAAATTCCATTGCTGAATTTTATGAGGTTTATCACCTTTTTAAAAGTGAAGTTTAGCCATTTTTGACTCAAACCACTGATCATTATATGCACTCAAGATGCCAGAGGTCCTATGACTCTGGAGCATGTACACAACATACAAATCCTCACAAAATTTTCCAATTCAGTTTTATAGAGTTTTCTACCTACTCACAAATGCAGAGAATCTCCATCTGTTGGTAGCCCCATTTTACTTTTCTTCAGTTAAAGGAAATGAAGATTTATCCAGGAATCCCAATTCCCCAGAAACTGCTACTACTACTGCTCAGCCCATCAAACCAGGTAGCTACCCACCTGCAGAGATGTATCAAATACAACAAGCTTGGAGCTTGTTGGAATGAGGTCATAACACCGATGTGACTTCATGAAGCATGTGTAGATGCCATTGTTGGAATCACCATCTGTTTGAGGAAGACAAAGGGAACTAACAAGATATCCCTTAAGAAAATAACATCAGAGCAGAAAAATTTATGCTCCTAAGAAGCTTAAATATATCAGAAAACCATATTATATACTTTCTATATGCTTTTTTTAAAATCCAATTTATTAACATCAAGCATATCTAAGCACTTTGCACAACCCACTGCTATTTGCTCAATTAAATCTAATATCTTTAAGAAAGAAAAAAACAGAATTGAAGTTTCATTCCAAGTACCGCAACTTCAGTTCTCCCCTCCTCTAACTTTCAGCATAAATTCCCCCTTCAATTTCCAAGATTGCCTTCAAAGCTATAAGAAAGAAATTCGTTTGTGAAGTTAGAAGAAGAGAGTCTTCAGATACCCAGGCCAGCCTATCTGCTTCTGGAAATTGATGGACAAGCTTAAGTCACTAGGATAGACAAAACTTTACAAAAGATAAAAAGTCTGTTGCAATAGAAAGTAGATCTCCAAGCTCAGAATCCACCAATTTACTTGACAAATTTCTAGAACAAAGTAACCTTGACGCTTGTTTTAAATTTTTGTTTAAATTATTGCTTCTTTTTATTTCTGTAATCTTGTTGTTAAGGGGTTGGATAGAAAAATGTTTGCAATAAACTCCAATCAAGGATCCAAACTAAGCAAAAGTTGTCATAAATCAGTCTTTCTGCATCACTCACCTTCAGATAAGGGCAGTTTTTTCTCCAGCCCACTCTCAGGTACTGCACCCTAAAAAAAATAAGAGATAGAAATCAAGGAGATGCAACATCCTGGGATATAATTCCTGCAATAATGATTGTTCCTTGAAATGTAATATATAATAATTAGGAACACCAACAAGTTAAAAAACCTTATTAGCAAACATTTCTTGATTCATTAATTGATTAAATCTGAATGTATTTGCATATGAAGAGCTTCGGAAATAACCTAATTTGTTTTGATAGAGATTTTAGTATATTAAAAAAGAGAATTGCTTCCTAAGGCAGAGGTGGGAACTGCCTTGTCAAAGCTGAATTGCATCACCTGTTTTCCTAAGTATTTTTTTAAAAAAATCCTGTTTTTGGGGGGGGGGGGGAAAGCACCTTTCAACTTTTAAAAAATAAACCATTATCTTGGTTAGCTAATACAACCTAATTTACCTCCAATCTACGCAATGTAATCCTCATTCAAAATATCTAGAATGTCATTCCTTCTCACATATTAACCCACCTGGAGACATGCCAACAGAAAAACAAACTGAGCAGATGAAGAAGGAAAAGAGGTGCCATGTAGTTGAGCTACTCATAAAGCTATAAATCTTATCTCACCACTATTATTCAGCCTTATCTATTTCACAGGAATACTATGATAAAATACAAAACAAAGATATGTTTACTTTCTTGTAAACACTAGTAGAGTCTTCAAATAGAAGTTCATTCCCAACAATGGAGAGATAGAACTGTGTTCTCTTATTTCCTGTCTCCCAGGAAAATGTTACAGTCTTCCCACAATTAATGGTATCTGTGCTATTTCCGGAGAATGACATGGTCCAGCTGTGAATATTTCCAAGCTATAAAGTTGCCAGCATAGCAAACTCTTGATTTAATGCATCTCAGTTCAGTAGATTTCAGCTATAATAGACTAAATTATATTGTGAAAAATTCAGAAGTACAAGGCACACTACTGAGAAGAACCATATTTATTGCAACAATTGTTGGGTGTTACAAGAAAAAGGGACCCCTAAGATGGTAGAAGTTGAGGTCTAAAAGACAGGGAATTCTAGGAATCTGATTTGCTGCCTAATTTAGGTAAGCTAGGCAGGTCCTCCTTATGACCTTAGGTTATTTCTATTGTTACGCAAAAATAACCTTTTCAGAAGGACAGCAGAGCTGGGGAAATCCATTGTAAAGGAGATGGAATATTGAGGTGTCAGCAGATGGAGGATAGAATTTTGGGGTTCTCAGCTTGTTACTACAGTATGTTGCAATTCCTTTATTTAGGCTGCATTGTAAGCTTCTATTTTTTTGGTTCAAATGAGATTGCAGTGGGCGTTGTCTGGGGGCAGGGACAAGTCAATTTGGTCTGGTAGGATTAAACAGGGAGGATTTGACCCTAGCCAAGTCTAAAAGTCTGGGATGAAAAGAGCACAACCTCAATTTTGTTTGTTAGATCTATTTTATTTGGTACAATGTGAATTTGGACTTGACTCCAAACAACAAGCAATATCCAATGCTTGGCGATGTACTCAGAATAAAATAATAACAGAGTTGGAAGGGACCTTGGAGGTCTTCTACTCCAACCCTCTGCTCAAGCAGGAAACCTTATACCATTTTAGACAAATGGTTGTCAAACCTCTTCTTAAAAATATCCAGTTCTGGAGCCCCTACAACTTCTGGAGGCAAGTCCTTCCACTGATTAATTGTTCTGTTATATTCCATATATAAGAGCCGTTGGTGGCGCAGTGGTTAGAATGCAGTACTCCAGGTTACATCTGCTGATTGCTGGCTGCGAGCAGTTCGGCAGTTTGAGTCTCACAAGCTCAAGGTTGACTCAGTCTTCCATCCTTCCGAGGTCGGTAAAATGAGGACCCAGATTGTTGGGGGCAATATGCTGACTCTGGAGGTACTGTGTGACATATTTGTAAGGTTCAGTTAAAATTAGAAAATCATTTTCTTCAAAGTGATCACTTGTCCAGTATCAGCTTCACTGAAACTCAATGCAGCAAAACCTTATTGACAACTATCAGTAAGTAACATGTACATGGGTGTTGAAAAATTTCCATTTGTTATGCGATGGCTTTAACAAATATCCCTTTCTGTAACAGATATGCCTTCCTCCATCAGTCCATTAAATTGTGGGTTCAGCGTACTATTGTATGTACTGGACAGGGTGATTATGTAGAGCAATAGGAGAAACGGTTAATTTTTTTTAAAATTTGATTTATATGCCGCCCTTCTCCGGAGACTCAGGGCGGTTTACAATACATTAAGCAATAGCCTTCATACTTTTGTATATTTATACAAAATTTAAGTAGTCAAATCAAAAGCATTGTGGAATCCAAACACAATTCAAATTGTTGTAGGCTAGGGTGGGCAAGGGCCACACATTTTTGCGTAGCAGAGCTGTAAAATCTGTGTTTACCTACACTATCACATCTAAAGAAAAAAGAAAAAAAGTTTCCCAGTAAAAGTTTATCTTGTAATAACAAGATAAATTATCATGTATTTTGTAAATAGATAGCTATAAACTGATTTCATTTCAGGACTTAAAACTGAAAATTCCAAGGATATTGGAGCTCAATATCTCTACGTGTGCTTAAAATGCAGGTGTAGGTTCCAAAATGAATTACTGTTTATCTTTTCCTTTCAATTTTATATGACTGTAGATCTGAAAAAAGTGGCGCCTGCAATTGTGGGGGAAAACACTAGGTAGAAAAAAAAATTAAGCAAGTATTTTTTAGTTCTAACACAAATAATTTCAGCTTCTCTTCAACCTGGGACTCACCAGGTATGTTAGAATTGCTACTCTATTACATTTCCAACATAGCTATATAGTGAGGAATGCTGGATTAGCCTCAAACCTTATTAGCCAGCAGGCAATCTCACGCAGTGTCTGAAATATAAAGATAAGCCTTTTTTTCCAAATTTCAATATTTTCATTGAAGCTAGTCTTCTAGAAACTGCTACCCTTTAGACATGATGGACTTGAAGTCATAAGATGAATGTATACATACCGGTAGTAAGTAAGTAAGTAAGTATTTGTTTTATTTCTATGCCGCCCACTCTCCAAGGACTCTGGGCGGCTTACACCAAAGACAATATACTAAATAGCATATTGCCCCCAACAATCTGGGTCCTCATTTTACCCACCTCGGAAGGATGGAAGGCTGAGTCAACCTTGTGCCAGTGAGATTTGATCCGCTGATCTGCTGAACTAGTAGTCAGCTGAAATAGCTGTAGTACTTCACTCTAACCACTGCGCCACCTCGGCTCTCTAGTATGGTAACCACACTATGATGCAGTTTATTACTTTTGGTTTAACATAGGGACAATCAAACTGCACATTATGATCCCCAGGGAGGCCCACTAAACTAGAGGATGATAATGTCTGTTATCACTTCAACTTCAACTATTTGTGCTAGATTGGCATTGCCTATTGATATACCGGTAAATAAGTTTTCATTTATACTCATATACAAAGGCTGATTTTTGTATTTCTTTTAATTTCAACAAGAGATTCCTTAAGTTATCCTTGCTTCTAATCATCACGGTATCATCAGGATACCTGAGGTTAATGTTTCTTCAGCCAATTTTAACATCAATGTCTAATTTTTCTCATGATATGCTCTACATGTAACATAAATAAATAAATCAACAGCATAAAACCTAATCCCACTGCTTTCTCAATTTTGAAACATTTGGTTGCTCCTTATTCCATTCTAACTGCTGCTTCATGGTCATCATACAAATTGTTTGTATGGTACTGGTACTGGTATGGGCCTGGTACTTTCATATTTTTAAGGCTTATCACAATGTATTGTGGTCTATACAGTCAAAAGCCTTTGCATAACCAATTAAGCAGAAATAGAGATCCTTTTGAAACTTCCTTGCCCTTTCTATTATCAGTTATTAGCAATAGGATCTTCTTATGCCTCTGCCTTTTCTGAATTCAACGGATAATCTGGTAATTTTCATCCCATGTATTGTTGAAATTTGGATCGCAAAATCTTGAGGATCATTTTTAGGAGCATGCAAAAGAAGTGCAAATGTTCAATAATTTGAGCATTTTTTAACACAACCCTTTTTTGACATTAGAAATTAGTATAAAGCAATGTTTTCCAGTCCTTTGCATTTTCTATGCAAGCTTACAAAACCACACACAGCATCTTGTAACATTTTAAACAATTCTTCTGGTATTTCATTAACAGGCTGGTAGTTTGCACATGCAGCGTTGTTCTTAAAAATTTTTTCCTAGAAGTCAAAAATGTCTGGCTGTAGTTATATGACCACATTATGATCTTTCCATACAATTCTTTTATACAATGGCACCATCTCTTCCAGTATCAACCTCTCCCATTCATATTTGCAATGTTGTATTAGTGTTAGTCAGTCTATTATAAACAGCACATATTCATAAACACATTAATTTTGGAACACAAAGAGGGTCAATCTCAAAAATAAAACCCAGATTTTTGCAATCTGCAGTTTATCCTTTCTATTAAAAGTAAGGTTTTAAATTTGTTTGGTTTTTTTAAATTTACAATGGTTTTATTTTATAAGACTGAGTTCTATAGCTTGCTTTGCTTGATGCTTAAATTAAAATTTAATTAAAGTGGGTGAGATACTTTTGTTGAAAGAGATTGCAATGTATCTTTACAGATGAAAGCAGGGCCTCCTGATGTGATCAAGAATTGCTCTTTTTTAAAGGTAGGATAAATTATATATGTCATTCGCATGGCAAGACAATGTCAAATAACAAAACAACTTGATGACCTGCCTCAGAATGAATAGAGAAAAACATACAAGTTTAACTTAAGTTATAAATTTGTCCCATCTCTGACAGTTTTAAGCAAGCCTCTCTTGCTTACAGTTCTTTATACCATGGGATAACTTTGACTTACAGTGCAATATTTTCTAATAATTATGTATGAGAAAGGGGTTTTTATCGCTTAAGATCATGGCTCTAAAATCAGAAATACATATGCAGGTGTATATGTACTTTTCTTTTATGCAATATGGCTTTTGGAGATCACATAGAGATACAGCCTTTTTTCTTTTTAATAGGTCCTGCTGTAACCTGTTCAAAACATGATTTGCCCAAAGAAATTCAAAAATCAAACCATTGCAAAACTCCAGCCGAGAACTGACATCCAATGCAAGGCAAAATCTTTTTATGGCATTAATCACTTTTCCAAAATAAGGGGTCTGTCATTCAAATAATTTATTAAGATTGACATCCTTCCTTTCATCAAGGAGCTCCACAACCAATTTCCCAAAACACAAGGTTTGACTGTGAGACACTAACTACAGTCATCTCAAATCACTCAAGTGAGCTGCCAGGATTAGAATCAAACCTAAATCTTAGCCCATCATCTTAAGTAACATACATACTATATCATACTTACAAACATACATATAAACATATATCACACTCCACTTCAGAAGGCTCTGTAAAAAAAAAAACCGGGCCACCATTCAAATGCAATCAACGCTTAAAGAAAAATCTGGGCTAATCTGCTAGCTCTATCCAACGGTATAGTGTACAAAAGCAATATATTTACTATTATAAATGCTAAGTTTATAATACCTATCCGGATTCAACTCCCAATAATCCCGATAAAACCTATACTGTATTGGGATACCGTCTGTTCTCATTAAGAAAGAAGAAAGACTCACAAAAGAAACACTATCCGGTACAGGGAGCAATTAAAACTCTTCCCCCAGGCTCCACCACCCCTCTTTCACTTACCGCCTCCATTACCGTGTTGCTGCCTCCCCGCGCCGAACTCAGAGAAAGGGAGGCAGCTTCGCCCCCACCCCAGTTGCCGTTCCCAGCATGAAGCTGAACTTCCGTCTTGAAACCCAGCTGCCCTCAGTTCCGCCAGTAAAGGCGATCACGTGAGCGGAAGTGGACGAAGGACTGGTCAGTGCTTTGCGTAGAGACGTGGGAAGATCGTCTTTTTGCTTGCCTGTCTAATGTGACGTCATCGAGGAGGCCGACAACTGCTCATTAGAATGGCATTAAAACAAGGGGACGCCCACGAGCGCGTCCGCACAACTTCTTTTCCAGCTCATTTGAAAAGAAATTGAATTTGCATACCTGGTTTTGGTGGGGGTTTTTTTTTTTTAATTCGATATTGCTATTGAAAAGGCACGCGTATGGTTGCCTTTTATTTATTTATTTATTTATTGGTTCGATTTATATGCCGCCCTTCTCCGGAGACTCAGGACGGCTTACAATGCATTAAGCAATAGCCTTCATACTTTTGTATATACCTGCTTAGTAGGGCTTTTTGGCCCCCCCAAGCGGTGTTCTATTTTATACAAAGTCAGTTTATTGCCCCCAACAATCCGGGTCCTCATTTTACCTACCTCGGAAGGATGGAAGGCTGAGTCAACCTTGAGCCTGGTGAGATTTGAACTTGCAGTAATTGCAGGCAGCTGGCAGCTAAGTGCTACTTAACAGCACTTTAATCCGCTGCATCACCAAGGCTCTTGTAGTTTTAGAGCTGTCCTATTAAAGAGATTCATTAAGAAGGGTCTTAATAACAACAAAGCACTGGAGTGCAGCCTTGGCTTCTATAGGTGCTTCTCATTTTGTTTCTTAAACTGCTATGATGCTTTTAGGCTTTATTGTTCAATGGGTGCCAAAAAGCTATCAGGAAAGTTTCTATATTCAGATAGTGGAACTATTTATAACTCTCAGTATATAGTAAGGAACTTTTTATAATTCCCGATGTAGTAAAATGATAGGCAGATTGCTTGGTACCTTGCGTGTTTAGCTCTAGCCATCATCGAGAAGGTCAAATAATACAGTAGCTGTCATCCAAAAATAGGTGCCAACAATGTTTTCCTTTTTTCTATTTTTCTACTTGCACATACATTTAGACTGACACTATCTTTGCTGACACTTCCGTTCTCACTGCTTACCCCATTAAGTTCCAGTGAAAATATAAACCAAAGCTGTTTGTTTATAAGCCCATGATCTCTACTGAACTGCAACTCTCATCAAAAAGCGGGGAAGGCTGGAATACAGCGACCTCACAGCCAACGGGACAATTAATGTCGATACAAATATGGTAGGACAGCTTTCTCCAAAATAAACCTGCAAATTACCTGACTTTGCAAACAGTGCACCATATTGTGACAGAGTAATAGATTAAAGAATTAACTTTAGAGTCTTGGCCCACAGAAGGTCTGGCTCTGGTTGCTTTTTAGATAATTTCTTATTATTATCAGCCTAGATAGTGAGCCTTGTAGTAGTATATGGTAGTCAAACATCAGAAACAGATCAATAGCACACTAACAAATCGGATTACATCACTTTTTTTTCCCCGGATCTGCACCTCAATTCATCAGATGTGAATGGATGCAGCTCACAGTACGGATCTGATCAAATGAGCTGAGCCTGTGTCTTAGCCCAGGGGTGAAATCCAAAATTTTTCCCTACCGGTCCTGTGGGCGTGGCTTGGTGGGCATGGCAGGGGAAGGATACTGTAAAATCTCCATTCTCACCCCACTCCAGGGGAAGGATACTGCAAAATCTCCTTTCCCTCCCCTCCTGGGGGAAGGATATTGCAAAATCTCCATTCCCACCCCACTCTGGGGCCAGCCAGAGGTGGTATTTGCCGGTTCTCTGAACTACTCAAAATTTCCGCTACCGGTTCTCCAGAACCTGTTAGAACCTGCTGGATTTCACCTCTGCTTTAGCCTAGTTACGTTGAGGTGAGAGGAGACAGCGGCTGCTGTGTCACAGGATGAGAGTAGTGATCCACTATGCAACAGATCGGCGTACTGAATGCCTCTTTCATTGCGGCGGCGGCGGGATGGTATATATATACCTTGAGGTATTTCAGAACAAATACAAGGAAGGACGGAGTGAATCTGAGCGTTGCGTCGCCGCCAGTTTCCACGCCCCACGAGCGCGACAAAGAATTACATCAAATCGGACAGATTGGAGGATCCGCCTCTTTGCTTAGACCCAACGCTTAGACACAATCAATGAGTCTGCTGTGCCATCCAAAGTCTCTTTTGCGCCGGAACGGACGTGGCTAAAAAAAAGAAAAAGAAAGAAAAACCACGTCCAGCTCTAACCCCAATCCAGAAGACGGTCCCGGCGAGGAAGCCAGGAAAAAGGCGTGTTGTTTGGTCGCCCCAATCCTCGGATTGACTCCCGGCTTGATCGGAGCTTCATAGCGGACGCGTGAGTCAAGGACTGGGCTCGGCGCCCGTTGGGTGGCAGATCGTTTCACACCGCCCGGCTCGGAGACGGCCAAGCGGGGCAAAACAACGCGCTCTTACATTTCTGCGTTATGGTGGCCCGGCCCGTGGGCTGACTTGATTTACCGTCTCCGGTACCGGGGAGGGAAGGCACTCCTGGTTCCCCCGCCGGGGTCTTCTGGGTTGCGCGTGATCTCTGCTCCAGACGCAGAGATGGTGGTGGGGCGCTGCCCTGGGGCGGCCCGGGATGGGAGGATTCAGACAGGGAAAGGTGACGCGTGAAAAAGGAGCCTCTTCCGTGCCTTTCTGGCACCCGGGCTTTCTGCTCTGCTGGCTCGCCTAAATCCACGCGAAAAAGTCAGGCAGGATTGCTCAAAGATGCTTTAGGAGGCCGTGTGACCTTTCAGACGCTGATCATCTCCCGCAGTTAAGTTCTTTTCCCTGCTGCTTATTTGTCTCCTGTTGTGGAGCACCACTACTGTGTGGGCCTTTCTTTGCTTGCCACCTAGCCAGATCCCTGCCAGCTTTGACCCAAGGGAAAGAAGGGGAATGTGTTGGCAGCCCTTTCCTCTGGTGTCAAAATGTGGTGGCCCTGCCCAAGGTTGTAGTCTTAGTTGGGAGTGGGTGTAGAAAGTCAGCACTCACCCATCCTAACCCACCCACCCTCCTAGAGAATGAAATATTATGGGGGATATTAAAAAAGGCAGGATAGAATATTTCCCCTAAAGGAGAAATGGAAAAAAAAAAAGTCTTAAGGGAGGCAGAAACCAGCCCCAGTCTCCCTGCCCCCAAGCAGAAACTGAGGAGGCCAGCTTTTAGAAATGTAGATTTGGTAATCCATTCAGAAAAACTGGGTCAGACAGAAACTCCAGATAAGCGATTAGATTGACAAGATTAGCAAACAAACACCTAGGATATTCATTTCCCCTTTTGCCTATAGAGCCAGCCATGACCCCATAGAATCTGACAATTAGAATATTAAAGGACATGTTCTTGCACAGGAACAGGAATCTCAAATACAAAGCCCAAAGATGGTATAAAAACCCACCCACTCTCAACTCCATTTTGTCAGCTGTCCCAAAACTGCACGCTATGTGTGTGTTAGTTCTGTTCACCAATAAACAGAATCTTTCTTTCCAATCAGCCTCCATTTTATTCCCGGCTTGGAACTGTAACTGGATTTTCCTTCCAACAGAGGTTTACTGAACAGGTAGTTTGTCCACACCAAGTTTTTAAAAATTGACCTACGGGAATTTGTGGTTGCTGTGCACTGGCTAGAGACTGAGGTAGAAATAGAGAGACTATTCAGATCTTCATTCTCAACCAAGAAGCTAAGTGGGTGGCCTTCAGCTAGTTACTGTCTACTGGACTTTCTTTCTTTACATGGTTACCCGGGGGGGCAATGACAGCCTTGGGCTGCTTAGGGAGAAAAGGACGGGGGAGATAAATATAAATATCAAAAATGAGGATGCAGAGTTAATCCATAATTCCACCCTTCCCAAATTTGGGGGCACTCAGATATGTTGGGCGTCAAGGCCTATAATCTCCAGACAGCAGGACTAAGGGGATGAGCTATAGAGCTATCTTGAGTACACTAGCAGTTACAAAAGTCTGGGCAATCTGAAGTGAATCATCCAGGGTACAATAGCCAGGGAAAGCAGTTTGATAGGTTATTTCTTTCTCTCGTCCTTCCTTTCTTTTTATTTCAGACTTAGACTTTTGAAATCCATCAATCGAGACAGGTAGAAAAGCCATGAGTTTTGAATTAAGGAATTTTGAACCCAAGAGTTAGTTCTGAATAGCAGGGGAAAAAATGAATTCTCAGCAAAAATCAGTTTGCAGTTATTCTAATCTTTCTTCATTTCAGCTGTATGTTGTAAAATGAAAACAGGAGGATATAACTGCAGTTATTAAACAGAGCTTCGAAAATCTTATCAGCTGAGGGCAAATCATCCAGAGATTAACAATAGATTTCTTCTGTCCCCCTCTTTGTAATAGGTAGATTCTTTTTGCTATTATATATTTACAACCCTAGAAAAAAAAATACAGCAACCAAAAAGTAAATCACTTTACTCAGTAAATCTTACTTCCTTCCCCATCAAGCTGGGAAGCTGAGCTCTTCAATATGAATCTATTATTGTTCCTTTATTTTCATTTGGAAGGTTTTTCCTAAAACTATTTTGTATTTTTCTTATTTTGCATTCAATTGATAAAGACAAAATCAGTAATAAATGTATTTCCTCATCTATCCCCAACAACAAACAAAATTGTCAACATTTCACTTTCAAAGAAGATTTTTCTGTTTGATTAATAAAAACTCCCACACCCTGATGGTGATGGTGATAACATTTATGTTCTTGGAAGCAGTACAAAATTGATCTACCACTACCTTTTTCCACGATGCTTGTCCAGTTTCCCAATATATCCTGATAATTTTCAATCCAAGGTCTAATCAGGTTTGACCCTGCTCAGGTTTTAGGGGACACGGGAAAAGATTAGCCAGAAAGGGCTGGATGCTGCCACCTGTTAGATCTCTTCCTTCTAATTAAAATATTTGTTTGTAAAATTTATTGGCCACCCATCTTACCTCAGATAACTCTGGGTATCTTAACAATCATAATTTGTTCTTTTATTAATTTTAGAATACTGACAAGAAATGCCTGATAGTTCACATGCAATTTTCTGTTGTAATCCCAGCATTGCAGCACACAAGCTCTTGGAATCACTGCCTTCCCCACCCCTCCATAGTGTTCCTCAGTTAAAGTAGGGTTTCGTCTGTGAACATTTTTTGCGCATTTTCCCACCTAACCTTTTCCCTTTCTCTTTTCTCTGTCTAGAGCATGACAGCTCTTCTGAGGAGCCTGCTGGCTGCCTCAGAGAAAGCTGCCTGCATTGCCCAGCTATGTCGCCAAGAGGAGGCCCTCTTTAGCCTACTCATCGAGGAGAAGAGAGGTGCAGACAAGAATAAGAAGTTCTTGCAGGACTTCAAGACATTGGCAGATGTGCTAATCCAAGAAGTCATCAAACATGACGTGGGAAAAGAGGTAGCTGCTCGGAGAAGAGTTCTCTATGTAGTGAGAGACATAATAAGGTGAAGATTGAGCCATATCCTAGAGGATTTAAGCTCTTTTCATCTCCAGTGTCACCCAAAGGGGCTTTTCTACTTACTCTAAATTCTTATATTCTAAAGTGTTATATTCTAAAAACAAATAGCAATAGAAAGCAATAGCTAAACCTACTGCATTTGCAAAAGTAGGAGCAGATAGGAACTGAGAATGGATATTGATCTATCACCCGTTTGAAATATATATTTAGTTTTTTATGGTTGAGTGCAATAGCTGTTCTCATGTATCCCAAACTTTTCCCACATCATTTCTCATTCCTCAAATAGCCATGTAAAGTTGGCTTGCCTTATTATTATTACAGCAGGGTGGAGGCAGTAAAGGCTTAAAGATGCTGATTTGCTTAGGAGAATATTAAATTCGTGGTTGAGCTAAAATGGTTATAGCCGAGATTGTTATTCTTCAGTCCTCACTCATTTTGAAGTGAGGTGCCAGGAGTAGGACTCCAAACTGCCTGGGACTGATGTGACATGCAGCTGTCTCCTTCTCACCCAGAGGCTCAACCTGAAATGGGACATGGTAGAATCATTGAACCCAGAATAGCCATAACTAGGATCAAGCTTGTCAGCTTGGTTAAAGTGTACTTTCCTCTTCCTCCCTTCAGTTCCACTTTTCATTCTTTACCCTTTCTCACTGTTCACAGTTTCCAGAACTACAAGATCATATTTGTGGCGAGGAGTCCAACAAATTTGAAAATGGCCTTGGTGAGTAATCAGTACAGGGAGGAGGAAATACCAGCATATTTTGTAAAATAAACTTTCCCCAACTGGACTCCTTCCAATTGTGTAAGGTTAAAATTTCCACCTGGCACACTGGCTAAGAATTTTGTGTGTCCTTGCCCCATTACCTCTATAGGGCCATGTTGCCCTTCTGACATGCTTGGTCCTCTTTTTGATTCATCAAGTCATTCTCCCACTTCCAGCTTCGTTTTCTTCAGAGAAATATTTCCATCACCTGTCCTAGGCTTACTCTGATGGCTTCTTGCAAGCTTTGTCCCTGCAAAGATGTTTGCTCCAGAAATTCCAGAAAATTGCAGACAGGCTTGGGGAAAATATTTTAGGAGACTTTCCATTTCAGAAAGAGCACTGACTAGACTTATTGGAGCTTCATATGAAGGAGGATCATGCCCTAACATGCTAGCTATCATATTAAATATACAACCATTTCCTTATTTTCCTTTCTAAGACAGTCTTCCTCATGTTAAGGACCTTCACATGAATTAAACTGCTACAACGTCCATTATTCACTTACAGAGAATATGTCTAATGTCTGTATTGGGTGGGGCAATTGTTAGTGGTAAGGTAATATTTTTAGAGTGTGCCAAGCTGCAAATTTTGCCCTATAAGGGCAAAAAAGGGCAAGGCTCCTGTAGGTTTTAACTTTGCTCTGCAGTAGAGGAAATTATCAATAGATTAGTCTTTTTTTTATTACCAAGAAATCCTGCACCTCCCTCCTTTTAAGAGTTTGTCAGAAGAGCAGAAATTCTGCGTGCTGTTACATCTGATTTCTCTCTTTTTTTTTAAGTGACAGCTCAAAAAGGTAAAGATAAATATTATTGATGTAAACCATCCTGGGTGTTGGGTGCGAAGAATCAGGACCACATGTTAAATTCCAGTTAAACTGATTTATTGCTTGTGCCCTATACACAAGAATCTAGTCAACTAACCATCAGCACTAAATTGGTGTGGATAAGAATTCAAAAGGGGTTGGACTTAGACTGCTTGGGGAAACCTAACAACTCCAGGTTGATTCCTCTTGACTCCACCCCAGGGGTGAAATCTACTTACCTTCCCAACCGGTTCGGAAGTGCACGTGCTGTGCGCGTGCACTTGCTTTGCGCACACGTGCATCATGTGCACACTTGGATCCTCTGCGCATGCGCAAACCCTTCTGTGCATACACAGAGGGTAAAAAACAGGTTACTTCCTGGTTAAAACCAGGAAGTAACGACGACTCGGTGGAGCCTTGCACCACCATCGCTACCGGTTCTCCGAAGCACTGGCCACCATCGCTACTGGCTCGGCTGAACCGGGAGCATTTCACCCCTACTCCACCCCCAGGCTCTGGCTGTCCTTCTACATCGAGCTGTATTACTGTTTAATCCACTTGTAAATTGAAATTGACTAGCTAAAAGCAGATATCCTACATCTCACCCTATCTTTATCTTTCTCACACTTACTACAGTGTGGGTTGTAGTAGCACAGACTGTGGTGGAAAAGGACAAGCCATATCTCAAGGAAACGTCTCCATCATTATGGACTGTCTTAGAGAGCCTCTGATAAGCTTCTAATAAAACTTAAGAATTCCTCTCACAATGATCCAAGAAGTGGGGCATTAAAATAATTCTCATTGCTTGCCTAATATATAAGAGTCTTGAGAATAAATGTGAAAGATCCCCTTGATCAGTAGGGGGGCCCTCTTGAACAGTCTCCGAATTTTATTTGCCTTTGCAGGCGAGATTGTAGTGGTGCGGGTTTGCCCCACCCAACAGGAAACTGCTGCCCTGCTGCAGAAAGTCCTGGATCGGAAACAGACAGCAGCTGAATTGTTGGCAGCTGCTGTTCATCAGGAAGTAGTGCTTTCAGACCCAGCACTGGACAATGTGGATGTGACCATCTCGACAGAGAGCTTGGCTGTGTGGATTGACCCCATAGGTAAATAGAATGGCAGATAAAGGTTGGGCATCGGAAGCCATTTACATACAGTCTTTCTCTAAGTGCTAAGTTTTGTCTACAGGTAGTCCTCTACTTACAACCACAATCGAGCCCAACATTTCTGTTGCTAAGCAAAGCAGTTGTTAAGTGAATGTTGCCCCGTTTTACAACCTTTCTTCCCACAATTGTTAACTGAATCACTGCAGTTGTTAAGTTAGTAACACAGCTTCACTCTTAACTGAATCTAGTTTCCCCATTAACTTTACTGGTCAGAAGGTTGCAAAAGGTGATCACATGACCCCGGGACATTGCAACAATCATAAATATGAGTCAATTGCCAAGCATCCGAATGTTGATCACTTGACCATGGGGATGCTGCAACAGTCATAAGTGTGAAAAACAGCCATAAGTCACGTTTTTCAGTGCCATTATTTAATTTAATTTAATTTAATTTAATTTCCAATTTATATACCGCCCTTCTCCCTGAGGACTCAGGGCGGTGTACAGCCAAGATAAAAAACATAGAATACAAGTATTAAAACATTTAAAAATATATATAAATTTTGGCCCGAGAGTTAAGAATCACAGACTAATTAAAAGAATTTAAAAATTTCTTCTTAAGCCAACCCGGCTTGCTGAAAAAGATGGGTTTTCAGGGAACGACGGAAGGCATTGAGGTCATGGATTCTTCTTATCTCCGGGGGCAACTGATTCCAGAGGGTGGGAGCCCCCACAGAGAAGGCCCTCCCCCTGGGGGCCACCAGCCTACATTGTTTGGCTGATGGCACCCTGAGGAGGCCCTCCCTGTGGGAGCGCACGGGTCGATGGGAGGTCGTCGGTAGCAGCAGGCGGTCTCGGAGATAGCTAGGCCCTATGCCATGGAGCGCTTTAAAGGTGATAACCAACACCTTGAAGCGCACCCGGAAGACCACCGGGAGCCAGTGCAGCTCGCGCAGGAGTGGTGTTACATGGGAGCGCCATGTTGCTCCCATCACTACCCGCGCTGCTGCATTCTGGACCAGCTGGAGCCTCCGGGTGCTCTTCAAGGGGAGCCCCATGTAGAGAGCGTTGCAGTAGTCAAGGCGAGAGGTGACGAGGGCGTGAGTGACTGTGCATTATAATTATGAAGGATCACTAAATGAACTGTTGTAAGTTGAGGACTACCTATATGTGGCATAGACTGGATTATATAAAAGAGAGTTGAGCACTATCACATCCAGTCTTGTTCCTTACCAATAGTGATATTCTCCTGTCTTTCTAGGAATCTTTTCTTAGCCTGTATCCAGTATACATTGATCAGGAATTGAGTTGATACTATTTTTAAAGTCTGTTCTAGCGGGCAGCACTCTGACATCTGTTGTTTCGATGCCGAGTTTTGCTGAAGGAATTCTCCCTTTCTTACTTCCCTCTTTTCAGATTCCACTAATCAGTACATTCGTGGGTGTGGCAGTGTGGTGCCTGTGAATGGCATCTATCCATCTGGACTTCACTCAGCGCTTGTGCTGATAGGAGTATACAATCGTCATTCGGGTGAGCCCGTCCTTGGCATCATCAATGAGCCTTTCTTCCAGGAGGAGCTGACAGCACACAGGTAACAATAGCACTGTGGGTCAGTCTTGCCTACATGTACCAGGTTGGCTCTCCCACCAATTATGAAGGGTTTAGCCCTGGATTTTCCCCCTTCCTTTTACGGTACATCAACATGAATGGAGATGAACAATGAAGCAGGCTGAAGAGGGTCTAGGGCAGTGATGGCTAACCGTTTTGCTCTCATATGCCACAAGTGGGAGGAGCGTGTGGGGTGCCCACACCCATAATTCAATGAGCCCCACGCATATGCACACAACCCCCCGCGCTCCCCCCGCTTTTGGCACGCAATGGCACGGTGGGCCCAGTAGGCTCATTTTTCGCCCTCCCCAGGCTCCAGAGGCTTTCTTGGTGCCTGGGGAGGGTGAAAACGCCCTCCGCCCGCCAGAGGCCCTCCGGAAACAGCCCGTTTCCCAACTTCCGGTGAGACAGGAAGGCCCATTTTTTGCCCTCCCCAGGTTCCATAGGCTTTCTAGGAACCTGGGGAGGGCGAAAACAGCCTTCCCCACCCCCCTGGAGGCCCTCCGGAGGCCTGAAATGGCCCGTTTCTCGACTTCCAGAAGGCCCAAAAATCAGCTGGCCAGCACATGCATGCGACTGGAGCTGAGATAGGGCAAAGCTCGCGTGCCCACAGATATGGTTCTGTGTGCCACCTGTGGCACGTGTGCCATAGGTTCGCCATCATGGGCCTAGGGCATGGTTGAGCAACTATGGGCCCTTTACAAACTGTGGACTTTCAACACCCAGAATTCCTGAGGTAGCCCAGGAATTCTGGGAGTTGAAGTCCATAGTTCATAAAGGGCCATCTCTGGCCTAGGGAATGGCTTTGAAGGATAGAGGAAGAACTGCTACCAAGGCAACGATCAGACAAGTGCGCCTTGAGCCTGTTTTGAGAAATTAAGTTGAGAAAATGCTTCACACATGTCCCTCTTTAGTTTATACAAAGATAAAAGGCAGAAGATGGGGAGCACGTTCAGACTTGGAAAACTTTATTGCTATAGCTGTGACAATGAGTAGTCCTATGTGGCATTGTTTTCTTAGTCTGATATACCTTGTATGGTTGACACAGGTTTGGTACAAAGTTACATGGTTGTTCTGGAGTCGTTTCTTTTCACTCGTACTGCCCTTGAATTGCCTGCTGATCTAGCTAGCACATGCCTGCCAAGGGAGGCCCTCCAGTCCCAGACTTTAGAGGAGCAATGGGAAAATAACCGCAGGCTCCATTGCTATAAGACGGACTTATCCAGAGAACGAACCCCTGTTTGAAACGATCAGATGGATCAATATTATTCATTCAAGGGAGTCAAATGAATCAAAATGTAATCCCGGGAGGTATAACAGTATTTTATATTGCTTACAACATATACTCTTGTTTACTGGGCCACTGACTTCAGTGAGCATGAAACAATGGATACAAAAGTTATATTGATGTAAGATGCAGTGAAAAAAAAGAAAGAAAGGGGACCTCAAATAAACATTCTTCCTTGGGCTTCTCAGAGTTTTTAAAAAATTTGCATTTTGCTACATCTAAGGAGTGGCCCAGACTTTGCCAGAGGTATCGCATATAAAGATGCCAAATCGAGTCTTAAAATCTGGCTGACTGTGCGACCAACCATAGTAATTTTACTGTTTTGAGAAAAAGCCTTGAGGGAGTAGAAGAAAATGATTGAAGTGGCTGTCAATACTGTATTGCACAAGGATAATGCAGTGATTGGAAGAAGCAATGCTTCTGCCACAAAAACCAGTGACTGTATAAAAATACTTTACCGAATGGTTCCTGTAATCATTCCCTTTTCTTTGCCTCTGAAAAAAATTGTCCCTCTTCCTGCCCCAGCTTCCCTTTTGCAACTAAGCAAAAGCATTGCTGCTTCCATGCTTCTTCCTATCCTTGTGCAATATTGATTGCCACCTCAGTCACCTTCTTCAACTTCCTCAAGGCTTTTTCTCAAAACAGTGAAATCATTATGGTTGGTCGCACAGTCAGCCAGATGTTAAGACTCAATTTGGCATTTTTATCCACCTGTCAAGGCCTTCCCAAGGACCTCTCATAGGGAGCTGTTGTTATTTGATGCTGTTAAATTATTGTCGCAGGATGTAAGCTGTTCCAAGTAAAGCTGCCTTTTGCAATTGACTGATGGTGATTTTCTCAATGCTGATGATGTTCCAATGGTGCTCCAGTTGTTTTGTGATTGCACCCAAAAAGCTTATTATTGTTGATACCTCTCTTTGCTTTCTTTATATTATCCTGCCTTTTTATATACAGTATATATAACTCAAGGTGATAAACATACCTAATACTCCTGTCTCCTACTTTCCCCACTGCAGCAATCCTGTGAGGTAGGTTGGGCTGAGAAAGAGTGACTGCTATTTCACCTCAGTGTTGTGTAATCCTGGGTGCTTTTCCTAGCAAAGCTACCCTGACCCTTTCTCTTTGGCAGGTGGCAGAGCAAATACCATTGGGGCATTTCCTATGGAAGCACCAAGCTAAGCTCGCTGAGCCGACCCCGGCAGCAGCCTTCCCCCTGCGTGGTGCTGAGCAGCAATGAGACCACCGTGTTGCAGAAAGCGCTGGCCCCTCTATACGGTGAGAGGCTCTGCTTTGCTTCAGGTGCTGGCTACAAGATGCTCTGTGTCGCCCTCGGCCTTGCCGATGCTTATGTGCTTTCCGAAGGCAGCACCTTCAAGTGGGACTCGTGTGGCCCCCATGCCATTCTGCGAGCCCTCGGGGGAGGCATCGTCGATCTTTCAGCAGCCCTGCGGCTTTGGCGTGCTGGGCAACACAAGAATTTGCCCGAACTGACCTATAACAAGCCCATAGAGGGCGCTGTGGGTGCTGAGCGCTGGGCAAATCAAGGAGGGCTGATCGCCTACATCTGCCACAAGCATCTTGAGGCTGTGATGGTCACACTAGCAACCACGACAGATACTTTCTAAAACACAGTCCCATCAGTGCAAATTAGTGGGAGCATTTGCCTGTGTATGAGGGGAAGAAGGCAGTCTCTAAGTGAGGAAGGATAAGATTCTTAATTTTTTTTAATGGACCAATCAAATGTTTATGGTGGCAATATGCCAGTATGGGATAGGAATAGTACAAATGTCATGCTTTTTGACATTTGCTTTTCCATGCCAGCTGCATTTATAAAATTTCCACTTCTCATGCAGGATGTGCAATAGGGGAAGTATTTCTTAAATCGTTCTCCTTCTGTTCTTGGTGTATCATTTTTCTTGTGTGGGTAATGTGTATCATAAATACGTAGCAAACATGCATTGGGACCATTAAACAATCTGTGTTTAGGTACTCCTTTGTGTTTAGCATGGGATACAGCTCTAGATTTCTTGCTGCTGCTTTCTGGATAGGCACAATTTTTGCAAGGCTTTTGATGCGCAGACCAGGAGCCTTGATAGCGCAGTGGTTAAAGTGCAGTATTGCAGGCAAACTCTGCCCATAGCTTGGAGTTAAATCCTGACGGGGCTTAAGGTTGAATCAGCCTTCCATCCTTCCGAGGTTGGTAAAATGAGGATCCAGATTGTTGGGTCAATATACAAATAATGCTTCTACATTGTAAACTACCCAGAGAGTGCTGTAAAGCACTATGGGGCAGCATATAAATCTAAATGCTATTGTTATTAAATAGCAGCAAAGCATTTTCTGACAATGTCCCCAATCTGTCTTGACCTTTGGGCCTGGAAAGGCCCATTTTGTTTATCCGTTGCCATGTATTTTGTGAGCCAGGAGTTCTACAAAGGCGTCTGGCTGCCAACTGTCGTTAACTGCCAATTCTTCAATGTAGTCTGGCTGCCACTTGTTGCTAGTCGTTTGGTTCACACTACCGTGTTATCCAGGGTGCACCACAAGGAGGCAAACTAGCATCACATACACATCAAGAGCTTATACCGGTCCAATGTCTGATTTTTTCAACATAGACCACCCTGTCCTTGAATGGCTGGGTGGACTGGACATTAACATTTGAACTACTATAGTAAAGGTAAAGGTTCTCCTGCACATTCGTGCTAGTTGTTTCCGATTCTAGGGGCAGTGCTCATCTCCATTTCTAAGCCGAAGAGCCAGTGCCCGTCCGAAGATGTCTCCATGGTCATGTGGCTGGCATGACTAAATGCCGAGGGCGCATGGACCGCTGTTCCTTCCCACCAAATTGGTCTCTATTTTTCTACTTGCATTATTTACGCGCTTTCGAACTGCTAGGTTGTCAGAAGCTGAGACAAGTAACGGGAGCTCACTCCGTTATACTGCGCTAGGGAATCAAACCGCTGAACTGCCAACCTGATCGACAAGCTCAGCGTTTTAGCCAATGAGCCACCGTGTCCCTTGAACAACTATAAGTCCATGTATTTGCCATAAACTAAATAAAGCAGTAAAGCAAACATAGCTTGAGCTGTAAGGACTCTGGGATTTATGATCTGGCTTCGTGTTAAGAAGCAGGGGTAATTAGCCTTTGGATCGCTTTTAACACTGTGAGGAATCACTAATTAACTTTATTTAACCTAAAGGCATTTTTCCTTAGAGGAAACTCGAGAATTTTAGTTCTCCGGAAGGGGATCTGGGATGGGATCTTTTAATAGGGGGGCTCTGGGGGAAAAGTAATGACATATGAATATAAATAAAATTGCTATCTATGTGAACATATACTGCAGTTTGGGAAATTTTCTCCCAGGCCACTATACTATGAATTTATAATCTATCTATTGCAATCAGGTTTGATGGAAATTCTTTCAAATTAATCAAAGCAATTACCTGAACGTCTTGTACTATACATATTTGTTAAATATATTTTTAAACAAACACTCTTTAGAAATAAAATATATTCTGCAAGTGACAAAAGAAACATTAAGTCTTCATTCAGAGAAGAAGGGAAGGAGGCAGGACAATGTTCAGCCAAACATTTATTTATTGCCATCCATACTTCCTTGGCCTCTAACTATTATAAACAAAAAAACATAAACTGTTAAATTCAGGTATTGGGATTATATTCATTAAATTAAAGTTAAATCAAATTATAGATTTAATGTAGATAATTATTTAAAGTTAGAAATGGGCTATGAATCATCATTACAATGTACTGATTTTGTAAAGTATATTTTCACTTTTTATAAAGAACTTGTAGTGATTTTTTAAAATAGTAGAATATATCTAAGGTTGAAATTGTACAGACCATTCTCAGAACTTTTTTCCAGATTTTTATCTGGTATGTTTTTTCCAGACACTATATTAGGTAGCTTAATATTATAATTATAATTGTTTTTAAAAATATTAAGTACTAGCTTAGTTTCTATTATTCTACTACGGTAATTAATTTAAAATTGGTTTTTTTAGGATAGCCATTATAAAGGCATTGGCAAAATACCCCATTAGCTGAGCTGCTTCTTTAATAATAATAATAATTAATAAACAGTATATAACCATAGGAAAAAGAATCTAGTTATCCTCCACAGCTATGTCTGCCGTCATCAATGCACCTTTATGACTCAACTTAAGAATGACATCAGCTTCACACTGGCCATGGTTTAACCATGGTTTGTCCAAGAAATTGAAATAATGCAAAAAAACATTTGTGTCGCAGAAAGAATTGGTGCAGAATACTGGTGAGGCTGCAGGTGTAAGAAGCAGTTCTCACAGAATGAAAGAGAAATCTCACATCTCAACTTTATATACTATTTAAACAAGAGACAGATAGAAACTGGGCCTCCTGCCAAAAAGGAGGTGCAGTACATCAGTTACTTGAAGGTAGTGGAGGACAATCAGCGAGATAAAACAGTGAATACCTAAATATTGGGGCTGGTTTGGGGAAAAAACGGCTATTGCCAAAATTCTTTTGTAATGACATTACTGTTTCTTATACAATAAACTAATTTAACTGCAGTTCGTGAGCCCTAGTATCCTTATATATTTGATTCCTGAGTGCCTGTCAGGTGACGCCTGACAGAAGAGCAAAAACCATATAACTGAAGAAATGTTAAAGCTTGTTAACGTTCATGTAACACTTCCACAAAAGTTAACTTGTGGAAAGACTGTACGATCAGGTGTAAAGCTTGTATCCATGCCTCAGGACTGGAAAAGAATATAGTTACTGCTTTCCACCAAAAAGGACAAGATAGAATGAGCAAATGCATTTGGCAGAATTCTAATGGAGTGAGTAGCAGAGGCTACAAGAAGCAAAATTTACATAGTGCATTGAGACTTTATGCTACCTAAGTTTTGCTGTTCAACAGGCTATTGAGAAATAAGTGAAGAATACCATTTTGCCTAAATATGAGCAAATACAAAGAGGACAAATGACAGAATGCGCACAGAGGGATGTCATTACTCAAATACCAAGTCTTGACTTCTTGATATCAGATAACAGGATTGTAAGTATTTAATGGTATTTACATGTCAGCATCACCAACATGTCATTTTTTTGGTATCATAATTATTTCTTGCAGATGAAACTGAGTTGAAGGTTGGTTGCTAAATACAAAATAAAGCAGACATAAGGGTAAGGGACGTATGATGTCCTCTTGGGGTTTTAATGTATTTATGTATAAATACAGTGTACAGTGCTGAGCTACAGAGTGGCTGAGGGTCAGACATGGCTGAATGGCTGACAACATACAGCAAGACTGTCAAACTCCCGGCCCGTGGGCCAGATGCCATCACGTGCTGGCCACGCCCACGCCCGGTTTAGCAAATGGGGAAAAAGTCCAGATGCGTTACGTGTTGCCGCCACGAGTTTGACACCTCTGATGTACAGTATAAGGCATGCTTGTGGTTATGTTAATGGTATATTAGTTGTGAATGTGAAGGTAAGTGTACTTTTGTGTATGGAGAACCCAAATGGTTTGCAGCAAATGTTAGGTAGATTATAAAATGCAACAAGGGATAGAGAAAATTATTGCATTAAACTCCAAAGCAGTTGTTTGACAGGGAAAATGGAGAGAATGATTCCAAGTCATAAATAAATGGCAGAGCCTCTCCCTTTTTCTGAGAATGTGCTTATATTGATAGAGTGTTTTATTAAATATAAGAAAATGGGTACAAATGCTGGTAGAAAAGTAGCAGGTAATACGGCTTCTTTGAAGAATATTTGTTGAAAGAAATAGATTTGTATAAAAGCATGTTTCTGCCCAGTTTGTTATATGCAGTGAGTTTTGTGTATGTCAAACTAAATATTGATTTCTTTGGTTTATATAAAGGCAGCATACACAATGTTCTCGCTTCCTATTTTCCCCATAACAACAACCCTGCAAGATGGATTGGCTGAGAGAGAGTGATTGGCCCAAAGCAGCGGTGAAATCTACTTACCTTCCCAACCGGTTCGGAAGTGCACGCACCACGCGCACAGACCTTCTGCGCATGTGCAAACCCTTCAGCACATGTGCAGAGGGTAAAAAATAGGTTACTTCCTGGTTAAAACCAGGAAGTAACAATGACCAGGAGGGTAGGCGGAGCCTAGCGCCACCATCGCTACCGGTTTTCCAAACCGGTCCGAACCGGGAGCATTTCATCCCTGGCCCAAAGTAACCTAGTAGGCTTTCCATGTCTAAGGGAACTTATTAACCGCAACACCAAACTGGTTGTAAAAAAAATATAATTGCAAGTTGAATCAGTTGGAATGCAGTTGGTACTTATGAAGGACATGTGGTTAAACAAGAAGAGATTGAGTCCAGAGTGCATGGGGACTGAATGAATAAATTAGGACTAAAAAAGAAGTAGATTGGGATAGTTTGGTCCTACAGAAATAATGAATGAACATTATATCACAAAGAAAAGCAAAGAAATCAGGAAGAGGAAGATTATATTGTGATTTATGGAAGCTCTGAGATGATGAAAAACAGTGAAAATTAAAAAGGAAAAAAGATAGAAACATGATGGATGGAAGCAAGAATAGTTTGCAGGGATTTAAAGATACAGATCAGAATAATAACGTTGGTTTAAACTGGATTTATTTATTCATTCAATCAACTTATATACAGAATTGTGGAAACCTTTTGGGAAAAGTGTATATTTTTTAAAAACTAGCTAATAACACCACTTTCTTTTGGAGTGGTACTATAAAATTATGAATCAATGGAAAGAAAATTTAATCAAGAATGTAATGCAATAACTTTTATGAAGGATTTGCTATTAGAATAGCAGTTACAGTATAAAGAAGAAAAGTGAAACACGTAGAAAAAATGAGATATACAAAAATGATCACCATAAAAAAAATGACATATACAAAAATTATCACATCAGTTAATACTTAGTTGGGTAACCTTTAGCATGAATTACGGCCTTACAATGTCTTCCCATGGAGTGAACCAAGTCTTTTAGTTCTGCAGCTGTTATAATGTAATACCAAGATTGAAAGATTTATGACTTTTCTGGGCACTGTTGGCAAATGAACCATTGCAATTGTTAAGTTAGTAACACAGTTGTGTTTTCCCCCTTGACTTTGCTTGTCAGAAGGTTGCAAAAGGTGATCACATAACCCTGGGACACTGCAACCGTCATAAATATGAACCAGTTGCCAAGCAACCAAATTTTGATCATGTGACCATGGGGCTGGGTCAACTGTTGTAAGTGTGAAAAAAGGTCATAAGTCACTTTTTTCAGTGCCGTTATAACTTTGAACAGACACTAAATCAACTGTTGTAAGTCAAGGACTACCTGTACAATCATCAGGGAGAGCACATTCATTCAAGAAGAATATAGCCATTTTATGGGCTTCATACCACTCTCTGATTTCCTGGCCAGGCAGATGGAAAAGCCTGAAGGCCTTCCGAAAGGCCATCAAGGTCAGAGCCAGGGGCGGGGTGATTTTATTTACATGTTTCTTTGTTTGTATCATGCCTTTCTTATTTTTACAAATAACTCAAGGCGGCAAACATATCCAATACACCTTCCTCCTCCCATTTTCCCCTCAGCAACAACCCTATGAGGTAAGTTGGACTGAGAGAGGATGATTGGTCCAAGGTCACCCAACTGGCTTTCATGGCTACAGTAGGACTAGAACTCACAGACTCCTGCTTTTTCAGACTGGTACCATAATCTTTAGACCAAGCTGGCTTCCATGGGGTGGATATAATTACAGGATTTAACTTTATTATTATATTTTTGTTTCATGATGTTCATTTCTTTTGCTGACTCTTTCTAGGTCTTTTTCTATATGTAAAGGGTTGTTTATCTTGAAAAGCAACACTAAACATACTGTAAAGGCTAGGCATGTAGTTATTTAGATACAGTACAGCATCCTTTCCTTTTAGAAGTAGCTTGCACACTTTGCCTTTAGATGGCACCAAATTCTTTCAGGTTGGGTGATAACCGAGCAGCAGCTGAACTGAAGGTTTCTCAGGGTTTTGTCCATAGTTTAATATCTCATACTGTAAAGCTGGCTTGAATCCAACTTTATCTACTGCATGAAAAGGGAAACTGTAAACAGGAAAGTGGATGCAGTCCACTGTGCTGTATAAAATTATAGAGAACTATTTGTTTATAAAAATACACTTAATGGGCAGTGTAAAGTGAGATGACTTGCTTTTATACTGAAGGGATGTTAGATGGGAATGGGTAGGTATTTTTAGCATTTAATACATTAAAAGTCTCAAGCCCTTTTTAAAATATATATTAAATAGCAAATTCAATAGCTAAACAGGATTAGGGACTTCACGACGAACAGATAGGCTTGGCTAGTACTCAGGTGAGAGGTCATCACCAAGCTTATAGGTCAATTGGGAAGTTAAACAATGGCAAACCATTTCTGGATTTTAGCCAAACAAACATTATGGGCATGAAACTACTAGATCCGTGATGATGAACCTATGACACATGTGCCCAAAGTGGCACACGAAGCCATGTTGCCCGACACGCATGGCCTTGCCTATTTGTCTTCTGAATTTCTGGCGCACATGTGCATGCAACGATCAGCTGTCCTTCGCGTGCACACTGGCCAGCTGATGGTCAGGTGCTCATGCGCACCGGAACCCAGAAGTTCGGTTTTTCCAGAGCATGACCCCTATGAGGGTGCACGCACGATGTTTCCGCGCAACCTTTTCGGCACTCGATGCCGAAAAGGTTCACTATCACTGTACTAGATGTTAAGGCGACTTGACTTCCTTACTATATACCAGTTTGGTCTAGTGGTTAAGATCCTAGGCTATAAGCTGGGGGATCGTCAGTTCTAGTCCCGCCTTAGACATGAAAGTCAGCTGGTGACTTTGGGCCGGTCCTCCTCTCTCGGCCCAACTCACCTCACAGGATTGTTGTTGTGGGGAAAATAGGAGGCGGAAGGAGTATTAGGTATGTTCAGCACCTTGAATTACTTATAATTAATTATATAATATATGAAAATAAATAAATAAATAAATAAATAAATAAATAAATAAATAAATAAATAAATAAATAAATATTTATCAGCTGTCTTGGAAGAAATTATACAAAATTGCTTCACTGGCACAGTCTTCTTGGCTAAAATGTTGCTTTAAAATACAGACCATAAACAATGTGCCTGTAGTTTCAAGTGATAGCTATTCAATATCGTGGCAGACAAACTGCTTTGTGCTCTTTTTAAGAGCAATTCTGGCAGCCCCAGAGGAGAACATTTGAAGCGAGGATTGTTGGCAAAGAATGTCAGCAACAGCTCAGCTAATGCAGATTAATTGTCTTACGAAAGACTGTGTACAAAGGTAGACAACATGTAACTGGTAAATACATTATCTGTACGGCATCTGGATTGACTTTGTGTTAGGAGATGAGAGAAAAGGAGAGATTCTGAACATCTAGGCAGTGACCAGGAGAAAAGAGGCAAATTTAAGTAATAATACAAAAGCCAAAGCTATAGAGAACGTATTTTCAGAAATGTTTCAAATCTCATTTCAGAAAACAAATATATTTCATACAAA